CCCTCACATTGGTTTTCTTTTCAGGTATTCCCCACTGCCCCTGGGCTCATGCTTACTAGGCAGGCACTCTACTCCTTGAGCTATTTCACCAGGCCTTCTTTTGGGGGGAGGGGGTGGGTATTTTTTGAGATAGGGTCTTGTGAACTATTTCCCTGGGCTGGCTTCGAACTGTGATCCTCCTGATCTCCGCCTCCTGATCTCCGCCTCCTGAGTAGCTAGGACTATAGGGGTAAACCACAGGCACCCAGCCCACATGACTACTTTTAACTGCTTACAGCAGTAAACAGAGCAAAGCAATGACATGAAGATAGGACTTATAAATAAGGGAAACAGAGAGGAAAGATTTGGAAAATATGTGGCTGGGCCAGGGAAGGAGCAAAAGAAGCATGTGAACAAGTGCAGCTGACTTCACAGTGCATCTTCTGGTTAAAGTTTAGAGCAGATAAAAAGCTGAGACAGTTGCATCACAACAAGATGCCATGGGGCTGGTGGAGTGGCTCAAGTGGTAGAGTGCCTGACTTAAGGTAAGGCCCTGAGTTCAAACCCCAGTATTGCAAAAACAAAACAAAACAAAAAAACCCAAATAGATGCCTTGAGGGCACCTCAGAAATCTTCCAGGGCAGAACTTGATAGCCCATGCAATGCTGGTTTTGCAAGAACGCAGAATCTAAGAGTTAATGGCATCATGATGGCTTCCACCAAGATTTCAAAGGAAAGTGTGGGAGGCCAGTTGTGGTTGAAGTCCCTGTGGGAAGCGCTTGATGGAGCGATACCTAGTGGAGCTGTAAAATTGAGGCCATGGTGAGGACTCCAGAAAAGCAGAAGTACCGGCACCATGAAGCACCCTCTGTGGAAAGCTGCGAGCCGTGTGCCACACCAGCCTTGGAAAGCTGCAAACATCAGCTTGCAGCCTGTAAGAGCAGCCACGTGGGAAGAGGCAGCTGTAACGGCATGGAGACCTCTACCTAGATCGCAAAGGATGTCTCAATCAACCAGGGAACTGTGCCCCACAGGGGCAATGCTGAACAGAAATGGGGGTTAACGCTGTGGAGGCAGGACTGTCAGGGACACCGCATCTGCAGAGCTACCGCTGTGAAGTGCCAGCCTGGAAAAGCTGCACCAAGGAGACTCCAACTTAAGGACTGAAGCAGGGGTTGAGTCCGGGAGAGCCCTGTAGGAGGAGGCTGCTGGAGGCCTTGGGGAGCCCAACCCTATCCAAGTGTGGACAGGATACAAGACTTGTGTTTTGGGATTTAATGTTTGTCCTTGGGTATTGGTGTTACTTTGGGCCAATTACTTCTTTCTACTTGCCTATTCCTCCCTTTTGGAATAGGAATGTTTATCCTGCGCTAATCCCACTGAGGCGGGATAGATTGAGGCATGGGAAACAGCAGCCAGGAATTTACTAATAGCTTGATTAAAAACATACGACACTGCTGTCTTTGCTTTAAGCCTTATACTCCCTCAGACTGCAACATTTACTAAAAAGGAAAAAACAGAGAAGCTCTCTCCTTCTGATCTTGCTCAAAAATAGCGTGCTTAAGAGAACTGAGTAAGGATATCTTAAAGACACTTATCCTCAGGAAAACACCTGGGAAAATGACTCCTCTGGGCACAAAAAAAATGTCTACAAGGAAAAATACTTATTGCAAGGCTGGACACATGCTTGAAAGGAATATCCTTTGAAGTCACAGGGCCCAGCTGATGAGACAGTGTAACAGCAAAAATGATTAAATATACCAGGGGTCAGAACGAAGGGGAGCACTCTTTCCTAAGGCAAATTTGAGCCAAGACCCCAACCCACTTTTTCACATAAATACCTGATGTTAGAGCATTCATTGCACCTGTTACCAGATGTCCCTACACCCATGTCTGGGCTGTGTAGTGTTTCTTCTTTGCTTTACTAATAAGCCTATTTTACCTCCCACCCCATGTCTTCCCATTCACAATAGGCCAGGCACAGGGCCTGAGTTGAAGGATCTATGGGATAGGTAAGAAGACAGCCTGTGGTAAGCACTAGGAGGGACTAATAAGCTTTCTTGGTCTCCACCTCAATGTATCCTAAAATTCTTTTTTGTGACATCACAAACTCAGTAACCAGGGGTCAGGTGAAGGCCTCCTGCTGGACTTTTGACTTAGTGCTGTAGTGAATGACTTTGGGACTACTTGGCTGGGATGAATGCATGTATGTTGTGTGGTAGAAGGACATGCGTTTTAGGAGTGAAATGCTATGGTTTGTCCCCTTGAACTCATGCAGGAGTTAATCTCCCAAACTTTATGCTAATAACAGTGGGAGTAGAAATTTAATTAAACCATAGAGGTGGGACTTTGTAGTAGTGATTAAATTAGGTCACAGGGTGGAATCTCCATGATTGAAACCTAGTGGCTTTATAGAGAGACCATACACACACAGGAATATATAAGGGCTCCCACCATGATGTGGTGGCAGTCAGAACTTGTGCCCTGAACAGAACTTGCAGCCTTTAAAACTGAGCTGGGAGCCAGGCTGCCAGTGGCTCATGCCTGTAATCCTAGCTACTTGGGAGACAGAGAGCAGGAGGATTCAGGTTTAAAGCCAGCCCAGGCAAATATTTGTGAGACCCTATCTTGGAAATAGCCAGCACAAAACAGGGCTGGCAGAATGGCTCAAGTGGTAGATTTCTTAGTAAGTGCATAGCCCTGGGTTCAATACTCAGTAACACACACACACACACACACACACAAAAGGGCAGGGGCTGGGGGTGTAGCTCGGTGGTAGAGTCCATGCTTAGTTAGCATGTAAGGCCCTGGGTTCAAGCTCTAGCACCAAAAATACATAAATAAATGGGGCTGGGAGCTCAGTGGTAGAGCACTTGCTTAGCAAGTGCAAAGCCAAGTTTGATCTTAGCCACATACACACAGGGTGGAAGACAGGGATTTAGTTTGACATGCCTATAGCCATCTTGATCCTAACCACCATTTTGCCTACCAGGTAACCCTGCCAGCACAAATCTTACAGGAGTCAGGAAGCTGGGCACGATGTGCCCCTCCATCCCTCCCCAGGCAAGGACGTCTCAGAATGTAGCCCAGATTGGCCTAAAACACAGTATCTTCCTACCTTAGCTTCTCAGATGCTTTGGATTAAGGTGTGCACCACCACAGAACAGGTGTCTGATCCATCTGTCTTGAGGCCCCACACGCTTCAGTACATAAATTTCATAAACTGAAATCTGGATAATCTTGGGTCTGACTGCCTCTTTCTTTGGCCTTTTGGCACCTTTGGTGGCTAGTCTTGTACACTGGGTTTTACCAAAACAGGACTTAAATCAACATTTCTCCAAAGAAAATATACAAATGGCCAGTAAGGTGAAAAGGTCAACACTATCAAAGAAATGCAAACCAAAAGCACAATAAGATACTACTTCATACCATTAACATGGCTGTAAGAGTTTTTGGGTGAGGGCAGGACTGGGGCTTAAACTCAGGGCTTCACATTTGCAAAGCAGGAGCTCTACTGCTTGAGCCACACCACCAGTCCATTTTGCTCTGTTTTGGAGAACAGGGTACTACCAACTTTTTGCCTGTGCTGGCCTTGAACCATGATCCACCAGATCTCAGCCTCAAAGTAGCTAGGATTACAGAGGTGAGCTACCAGCACCCAGCTGTATTACATTTTTAAAAAGTAAAATAGCAAGTGTTAATTAGTATGTGGAGAAACAGCAACCCCTGCATGTTGCTAGATTGTAAAATGGTACAACCACTGTGGAAAAGTTCTCAGGAAGTTAAAATTTGAGTTAGTAAATGATTTAGCAATTTTATTCTGAGGCATAAGCCCAAAATGACTGAAAACACTCACAAATGCTCATAGCAGCACTATTCACAATTGCCAGAAAATGTAAAAATGAAACATTTTTTGTCTTGACTCTTCCAAGACAGACCTATTTTTCTTTTCTTCTGGTACTAGGGTTTGAACTCAGGGCCTACACTTTGGGCCACTCCACCCTCCACCAGTCCTTTTTTGTGATTTTTTTTTTTTGAGATAGAATCTTGTGAATTTGCCTGGGTTGGCTTTGAACCGTGATCCTCCTACTCTCTGCTTCCTGAGTAGCTAGGATTACAGGTGTGAGCTACTGGCGCCCAGCTTAACATAACTTTTATTAGTTATTCTATTTTAGTATTAGTTGTTTTTAATCTTACTGTGTCTCACAGATTAAACATTATAGGCATGTAATCATCTGAAAAAAGCGTTTGGTACTACCTGGGGTTTCAGGTGTCCACCTGGAATGTATCCCCCACGGATAAAGGGATTACTGTAAATGCATATAATGGAAAATTATTCAGCCATAAAGATGGGAGTATTGCTGGGTGCCGGTGGCTCATGCCTGTAATCCTAGCTACTCAGGAGGTAGAGATCAGGAGGATTGTGGTTGGAAGCCAGCCTAGGCAGATGGTTCCATGAGACCCTATCTCGAAAAACCCAATACAAAAAAGGGCTGTGGAGTGGTTCAAGGTGTAGGCCCTGAGTTCAAACCCCGGTACTGAAAAAAAAAAGGGAGTAATGATCCATGCTATGATCTGGACAAACCTTGCAAACCTTATGCTAAGTGAAAGAAGCCAGACACAGGTCACATATGATTCCATTTATGTGAAACATCCAGATTAGGTAAACCCAGAGACAAACACTAAGTGGGTAGCCAGGGGAATACCTCAATCACAGGCTACAACCTGCACTGGCTGAAGGACAATCCAGGAATCCACATTCGTAAAAACCTTTTGCCCAGCCACAGCTCACACCCTTTGGGCTGGGTAGGTCCCAGCAGTCCCAAGCCGAGAACAACTCCAGTTTCTTTGCTAATTGGCAACATGACCAGGAACTCACACCTCATTTTTCCTTTTCTTCTCAACTATAAAATAGAGTCAATAGGCTGTGTTATTCCCAGGGTTTTTGTGAAAGCAAACAAGGAGTGTGCCCATCTCTTGAAAGTGTGGAAGATGGAAGGTTAAGTACTCTGTTTCTTACATTAGTAAATGGGTAAAGAGAAGTTGAGCTCAGTGCTTCCATGTGCCAGGAAGGAAGAGCTGAGCTGGGAGGGCTGCATGGGCTGGGTGGTGAGAGCCTGAGGGTTGAAGCATTTCTGACTTGGCTGGTGTCTGCTCTGTCGCTTTTTTAACCCTCACATATATTTAATATTTGCATCTGCCTGTTGTTTATTAGTGAGATTCTGCCTGACGTGTGGTATCCTGCACTTGGTGCTGCTCACATCCCATGGGAGGGCTGAAACTTCTTCCTCTTCTCTTCAGGCTGATGATACCCTAACAAGGATGAGTACTAGGACTTACAGCCACAGTAGTTAACTCCAGGATGTTTTAGCATTTATGACCCCTTGTCACGCAGCATTATGTGTGGATCAATGGACACCAGGATAAGGATTTTCAAACCCATTTCAGAAGGTTCAGTCCATCAAGTGGAACAGGTGACAACACTCTTGAAAACATCAGCAGACACTGCATTGCCACAGTCAGAGTAAAAGAGGGTGAATTCTTTATCAAGGCACATGAGCCATGCAATGTCCTGGATTCTAGATGAAGCCTCTGCAGGTATGATGTCAGGAGAGCCACTTCTAGGCATTCTATCCTCTTTCCCGGGATGGTATGCAGCCTGCACCAGGAATGCTGGCTCCTCACTTTGGGGCTTCCCATAGGAGGAAGCTCTGGGTGCATTTAGGCTGGCAGCACAACAGGTCGCCACTGGGGCACAAAGTCACCATGGCTACAACCTCTGCTACCAGCTTTGCCATCACATACTAAGTCTTTTCAGCAGTGCTATGACTAGGGTCATTCCTAGCCCCAAGCAATGAACATCATCTAGCAGAGCCAACCTTCTCCAGAGTGATCTGGACCTTGTACTCCTACACAAAGAAAGGCCTAACTCCAACTCCAAAACCCAACACTTTTTTTTGATTTCCAGGACCTGGAGTTCATTTCCTGGTCTGAGAAAGTAGCATTTTCCACCTGGGCTGCCCTCATCTGTTCTGAGGACAGAAGGGCCGAGTATGTCCAGGCTGGTGGCAAAGGCTGCATTTCCGAGACTTCTTTGCTGTGGACCCTGCCTCTGAGGAACTGGCCCTGGGTCTTTTGCTTCTGGCCTCTGGCCCTTGGGTTTTTCCTCTGCCTCCTGGCCAGGGTAGGGCCACAAAAGTCCCTGTGGAAAGATTTAGGGGAAAGCTGACTTTAAAACTGACAACTCTGAAGTGGCAAGAAATACAGGTATAGTGTTGGGTGGAGGTATCCCAAGGACTGGATTCCCATGCCTACCACCTTATTACCTGTCTCCTCTCTCTAGATGACCCTAAGCTCTTGAAGGCACTTTCTTATCTATGTTCACTGTCTTAATAAGGGGGTAATAGTGTCACTTTGTGCAGGTCCTTTCTAGAGTAGAAATCCAGGCAAACAGTGGCAAAGATGAGTAGTATGTAGCCAGCAGCTAGCTTCCCTCCTTACCTGCAAAGAACCCTGAGCTCTGGATTCTCTCAGTGCTGGCTGCCTGGTCACCCAGGACAACGCATGAGCTGACCGGAGGTCAGACACTGCTTCCTATGGCCCTGGCAACTTTGAAGTGTGTGCAAGGACAATTGCTTTGCAGCTACTTTTTTTTTTGTTTGTTTGCAGTGCTGGGGTTTAAACTCCAGGCTTTCCACTTGCCAGGCAAGTGCTCTACCACTTAAGCCATTCTGCCTGCTTTTTTTGTGTTGGGTATTTTCAAGATAGTCTTCTGAACTATTTGCCAGGCCTGGCCTCAAACTGCAATCCTCCTGATCTCTGAGTAGGTAGGATTACAGATATGAGCCAATGGCGCCTGGCTTGCAGCCACTTTAAACATAGATCTGACAGAACAGGATGGCTGTCTCTGAGCCCTTCCAGAACTGGTTGCTGGCCTCAAGTCCTACACTTTTTATCAAGTGTTCTTTCTGTACATATAGAGCTGGTGACATAAGCATTAAGAATCAGTTTGGTTGTGGTGTGTTGTGAGTATGGTGGTGCATACCTATAATCTGAGCACTCAGGAGGCTGAAATGGAAAGATCAAGATTTGGAGGCCAGGACTGGAGGCATGGCTCAAGCTGTAGAGCACCTGCCTAGCAAGCACGAAGCCCTAAGCACTGCTAAAAACCTCAGCACTGCTAAAAAACAAAACAACAAAAAAAAAAACCCACCACTTTGAGACTAACTCAGATCCCACATAAAATAAGAACACTATGAAAATAGCAGGCACCATCTTACTGTTGAGGCTGAGAGGCTCCAGTTGTCTGAGGTTATACAGTTGGGTTTGGGAACTCTGCTTCTGCTATGCACTGGAATGGCAAGGACCATTCAAAGTATGCTCACATGTGCCATCCACTGTGTTCCAATGCCTGGGTGCCAGTTCTCATTAAAACCATTCCTGGGACGTGGCCTAAGCTGCGTAACCCTGGGCAGGTTTCTAGACATCAGTCTGTCATATGAAGAAATGAAGTTGATGCCAATGACCTTGGAAAGGGTGACAAAGGCTGAGGAGCACAGGGCTCTGGGAAAGGGCAGAGCCTCATTCCTATGTTGGGCCCTACTGATTATGATACTGAACAAAATCTCTTCATTGGTCTGGGTCTCACCTCCCTCACTTGGAAGACTGAGCCCATAACACTTACCTGCTGAAGATGAAAGAGCCTGCTGTAGAAAATATATTTACAGTAGTGCTGGGCACAAGTGAGCTCCTCAACTAGCAGTAGCTACTCTTCAATTTGGAAGGAAGACTGTGTGGTTCATTCCCTCACTGAACGTGGTCAATGAGGAAACAGAGGATCAAGGTAGCTGGTGCCTCCCTCTGATCCCCCCCACTACTGTGCCCTGCCTTCTTCCCACCATCTCTGGTCTCTGAGGTAAAGACCACTATGGAAACCTAAGCAGGGATCTGTGTACCCTGAGTGCCTCACCTGGGGCTATATTCTCATCAACCCACTGAAAGAAGCCACACTGTTGCTCTCGTGGCTTAGAGCATGTGTGGAATTGGCGACCTTTGTTGGGCCCGTCCTTCTGCACAGTCCGTGTGACAGCAGGCTGGCTACACAGGCAGGATGTGCCACCACCACCACCACCACCATTGCCAGGGTTGTCGAAACCACCCAGATAGCTGCATGAACTTGGAGGGAGTCCCAGTGAGCTGCTGGGAGGCCTTGGTGCAGAGGTGGGGGGTCTTCCTGTTGTAGGATGGTTGCCATCAGCCCACAGGAAAAAGTTGCAGCTGCCACTGTTGCACTTGTAGAACTGCCGGCCCTGGTTGGGGCCCTCCTTGCGGACAGTGAGCAGCACGGCCTCCTGGCCACAGTTGCAGGTCACAGAGTTACTTTCGCTATTGGCAGTGGGTGGTAGGAGAGTCTGGGCCACAGGCTTTGAGGGTCCAGTCTGTCTGCTTCTAGGAGGCTGGGGGTGGCTGTGCTGCCCACTGTCCATCCTGTTCAGGGCTTGGCTAGCCTGCAGGTGGCCAGAAGGCTGAATAGCTCTCGGGGGGCCCTGTGAAAATCTCAGACCCAAGATCTCCTTCAGGGTTTCATCACATCCACCGATGCAAGCAACAAACTCCAGGGGCATGGTTGGGGGAAGGCTGCCACGCTTAAACTTCAATTTCAACCTAGTGGGACCAAAGGTGATAAAAGACTTATTAACTACCATGTGTTGTCACCATTACTCACCCTGATCCACAGTGGGTGCTCCAGCCCTCACCTCCCCATCCCCACCTCTCATGCCCCAGGGAGCCCATGCAAGGCACTTGTTAGGCTCCCTTCGTGTCTTCCCAGAAATGCAGAGTGGGAAGCAGTGCAGATGAAATCTAAGACCCCAATTAAGCAAATACAGACACCTCTGGAAGGTTCCATTTCTCTATGTTCTTGGCTTTCAAAGTAGTCTCAGGGATCCTCAGGGTTCTGGAACCCTTTCAAGTTAAGGTCAAACTACTTTGTAAGAATGCTAAGAGACTGCATCTGACTGGCTCTTATTCTTCCACATGAACACACTGGAGTTTTTCTAAGGTTTGCACAAATGCAAACTAATGTCATTTTTTTCGTTAGTGTTATAGTTTTGCTTTGGAAAATAGGTATTTTGTCTTAAAATTTTTTCTTTTTTTTGTGGTACTGGGGTTTGCACTCACGGCTTGCACTTGCTAGGCAGGCACTCTACCACTTGAGCTGTGCCTTCAGCCCTAAAAAAGTCATTTGTAAAATTTGTTAGAAAGTCAGTTGCCAATGGCTCATGCCTGTAATTCCAGCTACTTGGGAGGCTGAGATCCTGGGGATCATGGTTTGAGGCCAGCACACACAGGGATTTCTCAAGACTCCATCTCAACCAACATCTGGGCATGGTGGTATGTGCTTTGTGTCAGGAGGCTGAGATCAGGAGGACTGAGGTTCCAGGCAACCCGGGCAGAAACGTTTGCAAGACCCATCTCTTTTTCTTCCCATTGGAGTTGAACTCAAGGCCTCACGCTTGCTAGGCAGGCAATCTTACTATATGAGACACTCTGCCATCCCAAGACTTCATCTTGATGGAAAAAAGCTGAGCACAGTGATGCATGCTTGTCATCCCAGTGATAGTGGGAAGCTTAAAATAGAAGAATTGCAGTCCAAGGTACACTGGTCAAAAATTGAGACCCTATCTCCAAAATAAACACAGCAAAGAGAGCTGAAGGTGTGGATCATGTGGTACAGTGTCTGCCTTGCAAGCACAAAGCCCTGAACTCAAACCCTTGTATCCACTCCCAAATTTTATGTTAATAAATGTATGCATTTGCTACAAATGATTAAATACTTAAAAATATGTCCCCATTTAAATTTCAAATATAGCATATGTTGAAAAACATTATCCACAGGAAAATCCCTTTGGGCTTCTCAATGATTTCTGAGTGTGTGAGGGGTCCCGTGACTAGGTTTGAGAACTACTGTCCAGTACTAGGGCTCTGGGCTTTCTGGAGCAGGTTGGACACATTTAATATGTGAACAATTTGCTGAGTTCAAAGCTGCAAGGATTTGTCTGGCAAGGGCAGGGAAAGGGCTCCTTTGTGGTTCCTTGGGATGCAGGATAGCTCCTTCCTAGACCAGGCTTCTATGGAACACAGCGTAACTGGACTAGCCCAGCTGGTTGGACTGCTGCGAGTGCAGTGACAGCCAGCCTGAGCTGCCCAAGAGGAGCATTCTCTGGATGCTCTTGCAGCGCATGCCTTGAGAAGCACCCAGCTCACCTGTGTACAGGGGGTGGCTGACAAACTGAACACACACTCCCATCCTTGCTGGCCTCCAACACCGAGTCAGGAAGCCATACAGCTGATCGACATTCTGGGAAACCTGTGCAACTGAGGTAGAACCTGGGGAACAGGGGGCAGCCAAGGTCAGACCACAGGAATACAGGAGACGGACTTAGGCTCATCTATTTTCCGAGAAAATCCTTCTTCAGTTGACTGAAGAGGACCTTTATCTTTCTGGAAGTCACTAACATTGACATGGTATGACTTAGAAAAACCAGCCTTCATTTACTTTTCTACAAAAATTAAGCACCTATTATTGACTCTACTTTCTACTTTAAAAAGAACCACCAGCCAAGGTTGCTTCATGAACTGAGGGCCCTGTGCAATGTGCTCCAGTCTTGATCTTTTAAAAAATCCCCACCCCTGGATTGGGGATATAGCTCAAGAGGTAGAATACCTGCCTAGCAAGCTCAAAGCCCTGAATTGAAACTTCCCATACTGAAAAAGAAAACAATAGTAACAACCCTCCCCTCCCCCTGCCTTAGCCAGACATGGCAAGGTGATACGAGTCTGTTAGTACCTAGGAGGTTGAGGTAGGAGTTCACGCCTTGTCTCAAAACAAAGACCAAAAAAAAGAAATCCTACTGGTACTAAAAGATTGAACTCAGAGCCCTGTGCTTGCTAGGCGGGTGCTCTACAACTTGAGCCACTCCACAAGCACTTTAATGCAGCTTTCTGAGGTAAACACTACTCTTATTTTATAGAATCTGGATTTCCATAGCACTTTACACCCCAGGTACCACCCAGCTATCCTCCTACCTCTAACAACTTTCCCAGGAACTACCAACAGCAGGCCTGGCTTTAAGAGGTAAACATGAATTGACAGGGCCTTTCAGAGTTGATTGACAAACACAGAAGTTCTGGGTGAGTAGAGATAGGAACAGAAGTTGGGCACTGACCCGCCACTCTTCTTGGTCTTGAGGACCATGTCCTTGTTGCATTGTGGGCACTTCCGGATGGGGTCTGGCATGGGTGGGTAGATCTCTTCTTGTTGGGCCATCTCTGCCCCTTCCCCAAAATACTGGGACAAGGCCTCATCCAATCTGAAGAAAAGGTACAGACCCACACCAGCCAGCATCATTGCAAAGGCATTTATAGAGCTCTCATGTGTCCACAGCACACGTGAGCCTGGAGCCAGCTGGTCAAGGAGCCACAGGTTGATGCATAGAGCAGAGGGCAGAGGTCCCCCACTGCCCCTGGCTCCTTGGACTCCCAAAACAACTCCAACTGTAGACAGACATACACAAGACTGGACTGAGTCCATGCAGACTCAGAAGTGTCTGCATTCAACCTAGCTCATGTGTTTCTTTTAAAAACTGGCATGGGGTGGTCTGAAGGACATATAAAAAAAATGAAATCTCAAACTGTCATTTCCTACCACAGACAACAGATTTGTGGGAGTATTTTCCCCATACATACATTATATATATATATATATATATATATATATATATATAAAATGATAAATCACAGTATTACAGGTAGAAAACATGTTATTCCTAACAAAACACAAGCTGCTTGCTCAACAACTACTTCCCAATGCTCCAGAGGACAAATGGATGACACACCAGCATGGATTTAAAAGACTGGGTCACCTAATTCAAGGGAATGGCATGTCTAAAGCCAACAGTCCAGAACACTTGAAGCCAGTCATTCTGATTACTATTCTATCCTGGAAAAGTTCTATGGAAAGAATAAGCTGAGCTCAGAGGGGGAAGTCCCAAAGAGGTGATGCCTGTAGGGCTAGCCCCTCCCCAGTAGGGTTAAACCCTGAAGGGCATGGCTCAGGAATAGCTATACCACCTCCTTTCTGCTGAACCACCTCAGAACTCTCACTTCTCACTGCGATGGGATGGCTGGGAGCTCACAGGACCTTTGGGCAGGACAGTAGGGTCTGGCACTCACTTCTTCGCCTTAGCCACTGCTTCAATGAAAACCTGCTTATATTTCTGCACTTGCTGTCTTAGAACCACAAGCTTGTCTTTCTTGCCCTCACAGATCAGTTTCAGATCAGCTTCCAGCTCAGCCCGGAGGTCAGGTTTGGACATCTCATAGCCCATGGAATCGTAACCTGCAGGAAAGAGTAGTACTGTGAGGTTCTATACAACATCCTCAGGCACTTGGGCAATGTAGCCTCTCAGTTGTACCCTGCAAGCTCCTGTTGCCCTTACCTTCCACAAGTCCCATGCCCAGGTGCCCGGGGAGGAACCGCTTGTCTGAGGTGAGCCCCACATACATCCGTGCCTTGATGGTTTCAATATGTTCTGCGTGAGTGGCATCAGTACCTGGAAACCATTTCCCTGTTATTCTGAGGTGACACAGACAGCAAGACACACGCACAGCCTGTGGGTACCTCAGTGGCCCAGGATACCTCTTCAGCCTGGATAGCTTAAGTACAGAGTACATCTCCATTCACATCTGGCTCAAACTGAAACCCATAGCAGCAAGATCAACTCCCCTACCAGACTGCTCATCACAGCCAGCAATTCTAGCCTTTCAACTCCTCCTTCTGTTTGCGGTTCAGGACCAAGTCTGAGCCCATAGCACCTTTCTGCGCCACTACAACACCGTCATTTCCTGGGTTCTGCTTTCTTCATTCCCCTCTACCCAACCCATTCTACAATGTGGCCAAAGGCACCTTTTAAAACACAGCTCTGCTACCAGAAAAATGCATACCAAAAGCCACAATGAAAAAAATACTTCATATCCACTAGCTTGGGTATTACCAGAAAGCTAGATAATAACAAGTGTCGGTGAGCATATGAGAAATCAAAACCTTGTGTACTGCTGCAGGGAATATAAAATGGAGGACAATTTGGTGGTTCCTCAAAAAGTGGCCCAGCAAGCTGGCTGTGGTGGCAGATGCCTGTAATCCTAGAACTCAGAAGGCTGAAGGAGGAGGATCTTGGGTTCAAGGCCAGCCTGGGCTAGATAGCAAGACTATCTAAAAAGGAAACAAAACCAAAATCCTAAGCCAGAGACCATGGTGGCTCATACCTATAATCCTAGCTACTTGGGAGACTAGGATTAGGAGGATCATGGCTTAAGGCCAGCCCAGGCAAATACTTCATGAGACCCCATCTCCAAAATAACCAGAGCAAAATTGACTTAGAGGTGTGGCTCAAGCAGTAGAGCACCTGCTTTGCAAACATCAAACCCTGAGTTCAAACCTCAGTCCCACTCAAAATAAATGAATAAATAAATAAAATCCCACAATCAAAAACTCAAGGGGGGAGCCTCTCCAAAACAAAACTTCCTAGACTCATTACTTATTCCCAGTAGCTCTTTCATAAATTTAGTTAGATTTTCTTATTTTTCAGTTGGATTTTCTAAATATCTAATAGTGTTGTCTGTAAATTAAAAACAAAAAACAAATGGCCTCCCAATTCTACTCCTACGTACAATCCCACTCAAGAGCAATGAAAATACAAACGCCTGTACACGACTACATGACTGTTATAGTAGCATTGTTCATTTTTTTTGGGGAGTAACTGGGTTTGAACTCAGGGCCTCATGCTTGCTAGGCAGGCCCTCTACCACTTGAGCCATTCCACCAACCCAGTTTTGTATTGGGCATTTTTGAGATAGGATTTCGTGAACTATTTGCCCAGGCTGGCTTCAAACCACAATCCTTCTAATCTCTGCCTCCCAAGTAGCTAGGATTATAGACATAACCCACTAATGCCCACCCAGTAGCATTGTTCTTAATAGGCAAAAAGTAGAAACGTCTCTAGGGTTTATCAAACTGATGAATGCACACATAAAATATGCTCTAGCTACACAATGGAATATTACTCAGTAATAAAAAAGGATGACATTCTCACATGCTACAAATATTATGCTAAACGAAAGTCTGTTACAAAAGACCACAGACTCTATAATTCCATTTGTGTGAAAAGTCTAAAAGAGGCAAATTTGAGTTAGACAGATTAGTGGTTGTCTAGGCCTGGTGGGAACATTAAGAAGGAAGGGAGAGGACTTGAAGTGTAGCTCAAATGGTACAGCACATGCTTTGCAAGCACAAAGGCCTGAGTTCAAACCCTAGTTCCACCAAAAAAAAAAAAAAAAAAAGAGAATGGGGAGCGACTGCTAAAGGATATGAGGGTTTCTTTTAGTGGTGATGAAATGTTCTAAGACTGACTGGAGTGATGTTTGCACTACACTGTGAATATAATGAAAAACACTGAATTGTACTTTTTATTTTTGTGGTTCTGGGGAATGAACCCAAGGCCTCGTACATGTTAAGCAGGCACTCTATCACTGAGCTACACTCTCAGCCCTAAACTGTACATTTTAAATCGGTGAATTATATAGCATATGAATTATGTCTCAAACCTCTTACAATTACTTGCTAAAAGTTAGCTCTATGTGGCTCCTTAAAATCTTAGCTGGCTCCCTGCTCACCACGTGCCAATGTCCAAGTCGCTTAGCTGAATACAAAAAGCCCTGCAAAGTCAGCTCAAATCATCTTTAAGTTTTACCTCCTGTGGTTCCCCCCCAACAAAGCAGCCATGGTGGCTTTCCTGTCCCCATGTCCCTCCCCAGAATGGGCTTGTCTTCAATGATCAAGACATATTATATAGTCTTTTGGTCCAATAATGCCAGACCTTTGGCCTGCCTGCTCTGCAAGAACTTACTACACTGTACTGGTTTGGTTTGTTTTTTTCTGGTAGACTGTGTCCTTGAAGAGAAATAATAGAGCTCCATCTCTTTTTGTCCCCAGTACCTGCCACTTGTACTCACTGTTCCATGTGGAAATGAGGCTTAGGGCTGCCAGAGCTGTTATTTCAAAGGCTGAAGATATAAACTTTTAGGATGAATCTCCCAAGTTTTAATTATTGGCATCTCACTTGTTGTACTTATTCAAAATGATTAACAAATCCCAATATAGGCCAAAGGGTACTCCCAGCTGAGCTGGGAAATGGGAAACATCTATGTTGTTATATATGGTGCAATGCAGGGTTTTAAGAGCACTGGCTGAAGGGCTGGGGGTGTAACTCAGTGGTAGAACACTTGCCTAGCATGTAAGAAGCACTGGTTCTTAACCTCGGCAGGCCTCTTTTCAACTATAAATTATTATTATTATTATTTTTTGTGGTACTGGGGTTTGAACTCAGGGCCTACACCCTGAGCTACTCCACCAGTCCTTTTTTTGTGAGGGGTTTTTTCAAGATAGGGTTTCATGATCTATTTGCCTGGGCTGGCTTCAAACCATGATCCTCCTGATCTCTGCCTCCCAGTAGCTAAGATTACAGGCATGAGCCGTTGGTGCATGGCAAATTATTATTACCTTTTTTGGGGTGCTGGGGATGGGAAACAGGGCCTCATGTATGCTAGGCAAGTGCTCTAACAGTTAGTCACACTCGTAGCCCCTCATTTCAACTATAAAACAAGGGCAGGAGTAGGCTGAGGAGACAGTGCCTGGTACACAATACGTGCCAAGAGCCCCAAGTTTCAAATGAGCTACTGACCGATGCCATGCTTCTCCATGAGGGCGATGAGGTCAGCCTCAGTGAGCAGCTGGGGTGGGCTGGTCTCACCATCCACCATCTCTACGGTGCTGGGCTGAAAGCAGGAGCCTTGCTCATAGACAGGGAGGAGCTACAGGGAGCAGCACATTCAGGAGTTAGATCACTCTGTTATTACACATCTAGTCTTGCTTCATCAGCCAGCATAGGGCTGGAGCATGACTATTCCCCTTGCCCTAGGGCCCTTTTCACCTTGTCACTCCAATGATCATATGGATACACATCCAGATAGTTTCGGGCCAGAATCACAAGGCCATGAGCCACAAAGCGTTCCTGAGCAATGTCAATTTCCACGGTGGTTTCCTGCCCCTGAGCATCCTGGGAGCAGCAAGCCAGAAAATGGCGAACGATGAACTCATACAGTCGCCGTTCATCTCCCTGAAGAAAAGGAAAAGTCTAAAACTTGTTCCAGAATAGGATGTTTCAAGGACAGCAGTGTCACTGGCATTTGAACCTGTACCAATGTGAGTGCAGGTGGATCTCTTTTGGGGGTGCTGACATGTTCTTTTTTGAGGAGGGGAGGTACTGGGGTTAAATTCAGGGCTTCACACTTGCAAGGAAGGTGCTGTACCACTTGAGCCATTTTGCCAGCCTAGGGGTTTTGTGTGTGGATGTTGGGTATTTTCGAGATAGGGTCTTGTGAACTATTTGCCTGGGCTGGCTTCAAACTGAGATCTTCCTAATCTCTGCTAGAATTAGAGGCATGAGCCACCAGCACTGGGCTAGAAATGTTAACTACAGTATATTGTGTAAAAAAGATAGAAACGATTTAATCTTACAAAAACAGATCTGACAAAATAAACTATGTTAGATTAATGCAATTGTTGTATATCACACTTTAAAATACGGTTCTATACAGAATATGGGGAAATGCTTATGGTATAGTGTTAAACAAACAGTTTTTACAAAGCTGTCTGAAGCTATTACATATTTAATTTTGAGACAGGGTCTTGCTGTGTAGCCCAAACTCATTATGGTGCTCAGGCTGTCCTTGAATTCTTCCTTTTCCTGTCTCAGCTTCCTAAGTGCTGGGATTACAAGTGTGCACCACCACACCTGGCTGAAGTTAGAATTTTATTATGAGAATAATAAAAATTATTATAATAATGTATAAAAATTATTATTATATATGTCTTGAAAAATATGGCCAGGCATGGTGGTACACACATGTAATCTCAGCACTAGGGAGGCTGAGACAGGATCATGAGTTTGAGGCTGGCCTAGGCTATACAGCAACACTCTGACTCAAAAAATTAAGAAAGATCAGTTGGAGGGATGGTTCAAGTGGCAGAGCACCTACCTAGCAAGCCTGAAGCCCTGAGTGCAAATGCTAGTACTGCAAAAAGAAAAAAAAAAAAAAAAAAGAAGTGATTCTCAGTAGGTGGTGTGGTCACAGGCAAATTTTTCTTCCTTATAATCTTTTGTATATTCTAAACTGTCTAAAATAAAAGTGGCACTTTTCAAAACAGAAAGGAGATGTGTTATTAAAAGACCAAAATCCACCAAAAACTGTTTGAAAAAGGAGGGAGGAGGAAGAGAGAATGGAAATAAAATGATGGTGAACTTGTTCAAAATACACCGTATACATGTATGGAACTACCACAATGAAATCCCTTTGTATTATTAATGTATCCAAACTAAAAAAAAAAAAAAGAGACCAAAGTGTCCTTAGCTGCAGATGTCAGGTAAGTTTAAACAGCTGCTTCCTAAGGGAGGAACTGGCTGAAGCACTGAGATGGTCTGGCAGAACTGAGTGTGAGCCCTGAAGTGACTGCAGGTTGGTGAGAAAGGTTTAGGAAGGCTGTGCAAATGGGTTCAGTCTTGGGGAATGGTTAAGGCCTTTTCCAGGTAGCAAGGGGAAAGTGAGCTGCTTTGCTGTCCAAGAGCGGAGTGCACCATCAGGTTCTTTTGTGAAAGCCAGGCACAATACTGTGAAATAGAATTCTAACACTGACCTCTCCTTTTTGAAATGGAAAAGGTATTTCAGTATTACTTTATTCCTAAAATCAGAGCCCACAGAGCAAATTCAAATCCTACCACTATTCCCTCAGCACCTGCCTCTGAGTTTCAGGAGGACTCACACCCACAGAAACCAACCTGCAAGTTACTGGTGTATTTAGTGGGGTGAATGGGAGGGTGAGCTTGGTCAGACTTGCTTCCATTGCGTGGGGTGGGGCCACCCCTCTCTAGAATGCTCTGGGCAAAGGCCCCCCAGTGTGGATCTGGAGTCTGCTGTTCTACCAACACCATCAGGTTTAAGTCTTTGGGGAAAATGTTTGTTTCTGTTCGGGGATAGCTGATGTACCTAAAAGAAAGGTAAAAAAAAAAGAAAAAGAAATCACTCTGCTTACTCACTGGTCTGTAACAACTGAAAACCCGGCAGTCATCCATCTGGTATGGCTAACTCAATGGTAAATCACTAAATGACCTAGGCTGAAAAAAGGTTGGAGAGGGGACCCCCTTTGGAGTGAAAAGCAGCAGGCCTCCTGCTACAGAGACAGGAAAGGGGCAGCTCAGCACAGGATAACAGCCCAAGACTATGCAGCAGCCTCGGGCCTCTGGCACATTACTATCCTCTTAGTCAGTCTGACTGAAGAATTTGGGTGGTGCTGGCCCCAATGGTTCCAACAGTGTGTACTCCTGTAACTTTCCTTAAAGCATACAAAGAACAATGCTGTCAATAAAACTGTTACTGTGGGTTCTACATAATTTTAAATATCTACTGGCCACTTAAAAATTACTGAGGTAGGGGCTCAGTGGTACAGTGCATGTCTAGCATGCACAAGGCTGTGGATTTAATCCACAGTGCTGCAAAACAAAACAAAACAAAAACCCCAAACCACAAATACAAACAAACAAACAAAAAAACCCCTGACATCATTTACATCTTATTTTCATACATTCATACATGTCTAAAATTCAACATATACTTCACACTTATAACACATCCCAATTTGCACAACTCCAAGTTCTCAAGTGGTATATAAAGATAGCCGAGATGACTCTCAGGCAAACTACTAAAGTTGTTACCTGCTGTCTTCTACTTTCCAGTGCTCAAGGGAATGTGGCTGAGTGCTAAAGAGCAGGATTTGAGGCTGGGGATGTAGTTTAATCATACAGTGCCTGCCTAGCATATGTAAGGCCCAGGATTTAATTCCCAGCACTGGTCAGATTTAAATAAAAAAAGAGGTTTCAATTTACTTTATAGACTCTTATATTCAAATACCTTTCCTGTCAGAGCTGGGGTGATTTCTAGACAGTTTGAGTTTCTCTATAAGCTCTATTTCTAATATATTTCATATTCTTACAAAGATGTATCAAATTCTATTGCCAAATCCAGAATATTTACCCTTGGGTGTAGAGCCTCTCAGCAATTCTCATGGTTTCTTTAGCATTTATTCTCAATTTTCGAGAAGCTAGTTTCTCCAGCTCCTGTTAAGAGGTTCAAGAGGCACGTTAAGGTGCAGTGCATGAGTCACAGCGTGACATCACCACTCAACTCATCTTTAGGCAGGTCTGAAGTTTGTGCCCAGGGAAGATTTCTGGGCCTGCCAGGCAGACCACAACCAGTGGCTCTTAGACACTGATGTGCAGTTGAAAGACTCATGTGGGGAGTCAGCAGGTTCACAGCCTGAGCACAGAGAAATGTGGCAGACTAGAGCCAGGAAAAAGGCTGAAATCTGGTTTTTTTTTTGGCAGTGGTACTAGGGTTTGAACTCAGGAACTCACGCTTGCTTGGTGGGAGCTCAACCATTTCAGCCATACTCCCAGCCCTTTTTTACTTTAATTTTTTTCAGGTAGAGTCTTGTGGTTTTGCCCAGGGCTGGTCTTAAACCTTAATCCTCCCAATTTCCACCTCCTGAGTAGCTAAGATTATAGGCATAAGCCACTTTGGCCAAGCCAAAATCTGCATTTCTAATAAGCAGCCTAATATACTGATGTTAATGCAGGCAAACTGAGAACCATACTTTGAGAATATACCACTTCAAGTTTCAGAAAATTCCCCTGGATGATGAAAAGCATCCTTTGAGGCACCCTTAGGCATAACCAGCTGTTCTTTTCTATCGACTATATGCCAAAGCATATTTAACCAGTGAGGAATAAAACTCATATTAAGCTGGGAGTTTAACTTAGTATTAGAGAACTTGTGTAGCAAATTCTTGCATGGAAAAAAAGAAGCTACTTCAATTATAATGCTATAAATATATACAGACAAAAAATAAGAAGTGAAGAAATCAAAATTATGTCAGCAATTATCCAAGGATGGCAAGATTATGGGCCACTTGTGTTCCTCCTCTCATTTCACAAACCTCACATAAGGTAGTTATATTGCATTTGCTAACTTTAAAAATGAAAAAGTATCAAGAGGTCAAAAAGGCCAAGGCCTTCCCTGGGTGCTTTGGCATGTGTCCTTCTGATAAGTGATTTTCCTTCCACTGGGTACAGCTCATTCAGCAGAACCCCAGCCCTAATAAGAGGAAGACAGTAATCTTCAGTGTCTGGAACATACCACGGTGTCCAAAGCTTGTGGCCTCCACTTGCTCTTTGGCTTGGACTTGACCTCTACCACAGTTGCCATGGGATCCTAGAAAGACAGGAAAGCAAAGCCTAGATTAATTTAGACTGTATCACCTTCAGTCTTCCTGCCTCAGCCCCACCCCAGGAGAATGCCTCTGTATGATGTCAACTGTAGGCAATGGTGTGGTAGATGCCATCACCCCAAATCAAGATGTTGAGGGCAGTTTCACAAGTTATAAGGTGACAGCTCCAGAGGTGATCAAATACCACAGTCTATTCATCTTCCCAGTATAGTTTCTTACCTACATGTGCGCTATAATATACTAAAAAATTCAGGGTAATAGGATTGAGAGTGTAGCAGAGCTTTGCCTAGCATGCATAAGGTCCTGGGTTCCAGTCCCAGAACCACAAAAAAAAAAAAATCACGAGAATATAGTTAGAAATAGGAAAAAAATCACATAATACAAGTTGGAATACTAATCTCAAAACCAACTTATTACTTGTAAATGAACAAAGAGCTCAGCTTAAGTGATTTGCTAATGAGGATGCCTTCATACCAAAATTTAAACTTCTTTTCTCAATATACTGGGGATGAGCTGCTCAAATTATACTAGCTCCATATTCCCACACTGTAGCTGTGGTACCGGGGATTGAACCCAGTACCTCTAGCATGCTAGGCAAGCTCTCTACCTCTTGACCCCAGTCCTAGTGTTTTTGTACTGTTTTCTTTTTTTTTCTGTGAGGTACTGGGCCTTGTGATTGCTAAGCAGGCGCTCTACCACTTGAGTCACTCCACTTGTACTGTTCTGAGAATGGGTCTATCTAACTTTTCCTGGACTGGCCTCAGCCTCATAATCTTCCGTTTCCACCTCTTGAGTAGCTGGGATTACAGGCATAATTCACATGTGGCTGAATCTTCTAATTTAGCATATAAATAAAAAGTGCCACGTCCTAGAGACTCCAGATAGTCCAGGGTTAAGGAGTAATATGCAGATGGAGTCTGCAGAAAGAACACAGATATACTGGTATCTAATCTAGCAGCCAGTGCTCTGATACTTACTGGCTCTAGTGTGTCTCTGAACAAGTTACTTTCACTTTCTCTAACTTCCTTCTCTGTAGAATGGGAATGATATCATTGCTCTCACAGAATTATTAAATAAAATAACATTTAAGAAGTCAGGTATGGTGGCTCAATTCTGTAATTCCAGCACTACAAAGGCTGAGATAGGAGGATCACAAATTTGAAGCAAACTTGGGCTATTTATTAAGACTCTGCCTCAAGAAACTAAACCAAGCAGGTTGCTTGTGGCTCATACCTGTAATCCTAGCTACTTGGGAGGCTGAGATTGGGGATCAAGGTTGAAGGCCAGCCTAAGCAAACAGTTCACAAGACCCCATCTCAAAATAACCAGAGCAAAATAGTCTGGAGGTGTGGCTCAAGTGTTACAGCTCCTGCTTCACAAGTATGAAGCCTTGAGTTCAAAACCCAGTCCCACCAAACAAATAAAAAAACTAACGAAGTATACTGGCACATAGCAGTACTTAATAGTCATTATTTTTCTTACGGGGAAAAAAAAAAAAGAGCAAACAGCCAGAAACAGCACAAACTATCAACTTAGAGCTCTGATTTTACTTAGACATCATGGTGTGCACCCTGCTGTTAAATCATGCAAGTAGGTGCTGACTACATGCAGCGGCAACACACAGTGGACAATTTGAGGGTCAGGAGACTGAAGGCGGGGTCCCAGTTCTGCCACTGACTAAGCCCACTGTAGCCTTTCCATGTGCTGCTCTATGACACATGCTATACCTGTTCAAATGTCACCCCTGAGAGAGGCCTTTAGAGACCACTTCATCTAGAATAGTCCTGCCATTCTTTATTCCTTTACTTTGCTATATTTTATCCCTTTGTGAAATTAACTTGTTCATTTGTGGCTTTCATCTCTTTAGATTCCCTCATATGACTAATGGAAGATGGCTAGACAGATGCTGCCTCTCCCAGGTCTAGGAGTTCCATGATTTAGATGGGCCTAGTTGACCATTCCTCATCTGGTGACAGTGCATACCTCAGGAAGGGATCTCAGCTATACATGTCTCAAAATTTCTCACTTTACCTAAAAGTTCTGTAGATCTTTCCATTGCACGTTTTTAGTGCTGTTTTCATAGAGTTCTAGTCTTACTAGTCTCAAAAAGTGATGCCCCAAGATGCAAACTTAAAAGCCAATTATAGTTCAGTGGGATAATGAGGAGGTATACAGAATAGTTCCTAGATCACTAAGTTCTCAAAAGACTCCTTACCTCCATACACAACTGATAGAGGACAAGACAAGCTGTGTGATTAAAGAGACGATGCCTTTTCCAGTTGAACTCTACAGTACCATCTTTGTGGTCATGAGTTACTATATTGGGGACAGACAAACAGAAAGGCTGTTTCAGAGAAGCCACCATTTGACAGACTGAAGAAAGGTTCATTACAGTGAAAAATCAAAGGAATATGAAACAGAAAAGCCCTGAATAAGTAAGGAAACTCAAGCAGATTAGTAATACTATAATGGGCAGGGGAACAGCAGCAAGGAGGAAAATTAACACATTTAATTGGTCTTATTAATGCTCCATGGTCCTTGTTATCCCTGGGCATGGAGGCCCCATACCATAAAAAACCCATCAGACTTACCTTTATTTTTTTTTCTTTCTTTTTTTTTTTTTTTTCATTTTTCTTTTATTATTCATATGTGCATACAAGGCTTGGTTCATTTCTCCCCCCTGCCCCCACCTCCTCCCTTACCACCCACTCCGCCCCCTCCCTCTCCCCCCACCCCCTCAATACCCAGCAGAAACTATTTTGCCCTTATCTCTAATTTTGTTGTAGAGAGAGTATAAGCAATAATAGGAAGGAACAAGGGGTTTTGCTGGTTGAGATAAGGATAGCTATACAGGGAGTTGACTCACATTGATTTCCTGTGCGTGGGTGTTACCTTCTAGGTTAATTCTTTTTGATCTAACCTTTTCTCTAGTACCTGTTCCCCTTTTCCTATTGGCCTCAGTTGCTTTAAGGTATCTGCTTTAGTTTCTCTGCGTTAAGGGCAACAAATGCTAGCTAGTTTTTTAGGTGTCTTACCTATCCTCACCCCTCCCTTGTGTGCTCTCGCTTTTATCATGTGCTCATAGTCCAATCCCATTGTTGTGTTTGCCCTTGATCTAATGTCCACATATGAGGGAGAACATACGATTTTTGGTTTTTGGCCAGGCTAACCTCACTCAGAATGATGTTCTCCAATTCCATCCATTTACCAGCGAATGATAACATTTCGTTCTTCTTCATGGCTGCATAAAATTCCATTGTGTATAGATACCACATTTTCTTAATCCATTCGTCAGTGTGGGGCATCTTGGCTGTTTCCATAACTTGGCTATTGTGAATAGTGCCGCAATAAACATGGATGTGCAGGTGCCTCTGGAGTAACAGTCTTTTGGGTATATCCCCAAGAGTGGTATTGCTGGATCAAATGGTAGATCGATGTCTAGCTTTTTAAGTAGCCTCCAAATTTTTTTCCAGAGTGGTTGTACTAGTCTACATTCCCACCAACAGTGTAAGAGGGTTCCTTTTTCCCCGCATCCTCGCCAACACCTGTTGTTGGTGGTGTTGCTGATGATGGCTATTCTAACAGGGGTGAGGTGGAATCTTAGTGTGGTTTTAATTTGCATTTCCTTTATTGCTAGAGATGGTGAGCATTTTTTCATGTGTTTTTGGCCATTTGAATTTCTTCTTTTGAGAAAGTTCTGTTTAGTTCACTTGCCCATTTCTTTATTGGTTCATTAGTTTTGGGAGAATTTAGTTTTTTAAGTTCCCTGTATATTCTGGTTATCAGTCCTTTGTCTGATGTATATTGGCAAATATTTTCTCCCACTCTGTGGGTGTTCTCTTCAGTTTAGAGACCATTTCTTTTGATGAACAGAAGCTTTTTAGTTTTATGAGGTCCCATTTATCTATGCTATCTCTTAGTTGCTGTGCTGCTGGGGTTTCATTGAGAAAGTTCTTACCTATACCTACTAACTCCAGAGTATTTCCTACTCTTTCCTGTATCAACTTAAGAGTTTGGGGTCTGATATTAAGATCCTTGATCCATTTTGAGTTAATCTTGGTATAGGGTGATATACATGGATCTAGTTTCAGTTTTTTGCAGACTGCTAACCAGTTTTCCCAGCAGTTTTTGTTGAAGAGGCTGCTATTTCTCCATCGTATATTTTTAGCTCCTTTGTCAAAGATAAGTTGCTTATAGTTGTGTGGCTTCATATCTGGGTCCTCTATTCTGTTCCACTGGTCTTCATGTCTGTTTTTGTGCCAGTACCATGCTGTTTTTTATTGTTATTGCTTTGTAATATAGTTTGAAGTCAGGTATTGTGATACCTCCTGCATTGTTCTTTTGACTGAGTATTGCCTTGGCTATTCGTGGCCTCTTGTGTTTCCATATAAATTTCACAGTAGATTTTTCAATCTCTTTAATGAATGTCATTGGAATTTTGATGGGAATTGCATTAAACATGTAGATTACTTTGGGGAGTATCGACATTTTTACTATGTTGATTCTACCAATCCATGAGCATGGGAGATCTCTCCACTTTCTATAGTCTTCCTCAATCTCTTTCTTCAGAAGTGTATAGTTTTCCTTGTAGAGGTCTTTCACATCTTTTGTTAGGTTTACACCTAGGTATTTGATTTTGTTTGAGGCTATTGTCAGAATTACCTTTAATTCTGTGGAAGATTTCTGGTACAAAAGCCTGAATGGCTTTGAACCTCTCTACCACAAACCCCAGTGTTGGGAACTGGCAGCTGCCATAGCTGATGAGCTGCTCTGCCAGCACCTCGGGAAAAATCTTTTGAAGACGCAGGGTCTGGAACCTAGTAAATGCAGCTCCTAGAGAATGAAGGTGGAGGGAAAGAAGCAAAGAGAAAATAATGCTTGATGAAGTTATTTTGATTTCATAACCCAATACCAATGTGCCACGTGGGTCATTGGAGGCCCATCATGCTCCTTACCAATCCTTAGGTCCAGCTCCTGCCTCACATCCACAGCATCACTCACTTTCTGATCAGGTTCAGCTAGGTTTTCACAGGCCATCCTGACAGCACGGGGTGTGATCTCAGAGAAACGGGCTCTCAACACCTGGAGACCAGGCTTCACTGCAGAACAGGGAGCACCAAGGTCAAACTCAAATCACACTAAGTCTCAGCACAAAGGGATCACTTTCCTAACCATCCTGACATAAAAGCAAACCAGCTTAAGAAGCTGTGAGAGGTCTACTTCACTTATTAAATTAATATTTGATAATGTCAAAGAGGGAAATATTACTATAACCTTTAATCTGAGTGTTGTCAGAAATACCAGTGAAGTCCATTTTAGCTATTAACTAATATTCTCTAGGCTAGGCACAGTAGTTCAGAGCTGAAATCTCAGGAATGTAGGAGAGGAAATGGGGAAGATCATTGTCTGAGGCTAAACCCAGCAAAAAAAATTAGTAAGACCCCCATTTCAATCACTAAGCTGGGTGTGGTAGTATGTGCCTGTGATCTCAGCTACTCCAGAGGGAAGCTGTAGGTAGGAAGATCTCAATTTGAGGCTGGCCAAGCAAAAACGTGAGAGCCTACCTGAAAAACAGGAAGCAGAAAAGGGATGTGGGAATGGCTCAAGCAGTAGTATGCCTGCCTAGCCAAGGTGAGGCCCCGAGTTCAACCCCTAGTACCACTTAAAAAAAAAACAAACTAAAAAACCCCCACACTATATAGATATCTCACACACACAAACATAAAATACATATATGTATATGTTTTTATGTACATATCTGACTTATACTTGTCCTTAAAAGTTAATGCATTTAAATTCCCAGGAGCTGTTAACAGCTTCTGACACAAAACCACTTAGGGAAAATAGGAACTCCACTCTTTGAGCCATAGGATGGCCTATTCATTTCCTCTAAGTTACCTGAAACCATTAATTCTGTTAGCTATTCAGATTCACTTCATTATGTATATATATGTGTTGTTACATGCCATCTGCATACGGCAGAGTGGTGCTGGGTATGAAACCTGGGACCTCATGAGCCATATACCCAGCTCAAACAATTGTTTATTAATAGTCAAGCACTATACAAAGAATATGGGAGATTAAAAAAAGTAGAACATTTTAGAATTCCTTTGTTATTTACTCATAGTACATACATTGTTTTGCATATATATGCACATCCATGTTTGTTTTTCTTTTTGGAGAAAAACATGCTATGTGGCTCATCTATCCTTGAACTTGTGATTGTCCTGCTGCTTCAACCTTTTGAATGCTATGATTATAGATTTGGCCCACCACACCCAGCTTCAACACATATTATTTTTGTATTTATGTGTGCAGTGCTAGAGATCAAACCCAGGGCCTTGTGCATTCTAGGCAAGCACTCTACTACCATGCTACACCTCTATTCACTCTTTTTTTCTTTTGGCAGTATTTGGGTTTGCTCAGGGCTTAGGGCTTTGGGCTTCTGAGGCAGGGGCTCTATTGCATAAGCCATGCGTCTAGCCTTTTTTGGCTCTGGTTATTTTGGAAATAGGGTCCCACTTTTTGCCCAAGCCAAAAGCCTGGACTGGAATCCTCTTATTTTAAGCTTCTGCCAGGATGACATGCGTACACCACTCAGCTTTCTTCTATTGAGACAGGGGTCCTGCAAACTTTTTTGCCCGGGCTGGCTTGGAACAGTAATCCTCTGGATCTCAGTGTCCCTAGTAGATTGGAATGACAGGCACTATGTCTAGCTATTGGTTGAGATGGGGTCTTATGAATTCCCTGTCCAGGCTGGCCTTGAACTGTGATTCTCCTGATCTTACTTAACCTCCGAAGTAGCTAGGATTATAGGCATAAGACACAAGTGTCTGGCTTTCTTTCTCTTTTGATGCTTTCTTTAACACTTTTTGGTGTTCTTGGATTTGAACTTGCTAGTCGGGTGCTCTGCCACTTAAGTCATGGTCTCAGTCCTTTTCACTTTTAGTTGTTTTTCAGGTAGGGCCTGGCATTTTTGCCCAGAGCTGGTGTCATACAGGGATCCTCCTATGTAAGGCCTCCTTTATAGCTGGGATCACAAGTGTGTCCCCCTATGTCCAGTTTATTGATTGAAATGGGGTCTTGCTAACTTTTGGCAGCACTCGCTTTAAGCTGCAGTCCTCCTATCTTCTCAACAAGATAGGATTACAGGCATGAGCCACCTCGCCTGGCTCAATACATAATCTTTAAAAATACAATACACTACTTTCTGATACACTTATTCCTCAGAAGCAGCCCCAAGAAGCATGTCAGATTAGCCTAGCATTACAGGGAGTTCTGGAGGTCTGGAGGGTTCAGTGGCTTGCTCTGGAATACAGCTGGTGGGTATGGCTTACAGATCAATTCAGGAAGGAGCGTACAGGTGGAGGAACACAGTCACAGCCCACTTGTATAGGCATATAGGAGAATGTTCTATTTATAGGATCCCAAGCAAAGACGTTCAGAAGCAGCACACTTACCAGCTTTGCACACGTGGATAATTTCAAACCCGATGTTTTCGCCTTCTCTGTCACAGTCAGTCCAGATCACCAGGGCCTGGCATTGCTGTGTCTCTCGTTCCAGAGTTTTCTAAAGTTAACAGGATCAAAGAGCAGTAAAAGCAGACTCAAGAGCAATTACTTGATTCCTCTAAACTAAAGGTATCTGACTGAGGGTTAGTGCTGTTCTTGTGAGTGTTCCAACTTTGTGAGGAAAAGATTAGAGAGAACTGCTTATACTAACAGTAATGAAGATATAATTAATAATATAATCCTCCAGACCTGTAAGTAAGCTTCTAGAAGACTGAGTTTAGTATTACTTCCTTAGTATTATGAAACCCACAACTCAGCTCTAAAATACACTTATATCTTCAGTGGTTCTGATTATGTACTGGTTTTAAAAAAAAATTAACTTCACTGACTGTCATCCCAAGAAAGTTTCTCAGCAGCAAACTAACAACTTATCATCGACCAATAAATTACACTTTGTATAGTCTACCTAGGGGTAAGATGAGGATTTACTTACTACTATTCATAAAAAAGGCTTTATAGACCCTTGGGTACTTAGTTTAAAAACCTTCATTTGTACAATTCATGGGAATAACTTGTGTCCAAATTCCAATACATTAAAAACACACAAATCACTCAGTTCATGACCTGTGGTGTTTCAACTTCATGTCACATATCTTTTAAAGACCCTACCTTGATATCTACAAAATTGTCTGGGCAGTATTTTTCGATTTCTGCTTCAAAGAGGACAAGGGGGTTGCAGCTCTGCCTAGAAAGGAAAGAAAAGCACAAAAAGCCTTACCTCAGAAGGCGGTAGAGTGCCTTCTATGGTAATGAGAATATACTGTTCCAGTGGGCTCACATGTAGACCTCCCTCAAGAAACACCCCAGAGAAACTGGGCACAGCAGCACAGACCTAACTTGGGAGGTTGAGGTGGGAGTATTGCTTGAGCCCAAGAACTGGAGGCCAGCCTGGGCAACATAGCAATACCTTGACTCAAAAATAAATAAATAAATAAATAAAATTTTTAAAAAGCTACACATGGTGGCACACACCTGAAGTCCCAGTACTTCACAGACAAAGGATTATAAATTCAAGGCCAGTCTGGGCTACATAGTGAGACACTGTCCCCAAAAAAGAAAATGGCCCAGAGGATTAAAAGCAAAGCTACGAGCTTCTACATAGCACAATGTCCACTTTCCCAAGAGAATTAGCAGGAACTGCTAAGACATTCTGGAACCCTTTTACACACATTGCAGTAAGATAAATGCAACAAATGAGGTCTATTTTGGGGGAACACCTAAAAGTGGGTGTTTTATTTATAAAAATATGATAAAGATTTACCATGAATCAGATGACCTTAGGTCCTCTTAGCATTATAAATTTCACAGTAACATCACCATGTCCCAAAGTTCCTTATAAGTTCCACAACTTACTGCAATAATCAGAACATCTTTCCCTTACAAATTGTACTTACCACTTTCGAAACTTCATCTGGAAATCATGAGCCAGCAAATGTCCAGAGACTGAAGTCATTACCATGGTAACATTCTGAATAATAACAAAATACAAGTTACTATTTTGCAGTTATGTTTTGCTAAATCATTCAAATGAAAGGGAGAAATTTCTATTAATGAAAAGAAAAGAAAACAAAAATAGCTGATTGGGAAGAAATAAACATAAATATAACTCTTGAAAGCCAAAAGCCATATTAATACAATCACCATTCTAATTTTAGTACCATGATGCCATTTGTGTCATTTAAAAAATTTCCTCAGGGCTGGCAAGTGTAGCTCAGTGGTCCATCTCCAGCACAGAGATTTTACTGGGCTGCGGCATGGCTCTGTTTGTGTGGTTCTGGGAGTGCAAGTCCAGTTCAAACCCCAGAATCACAAAAACAGAGAAAGGAGAGTGGGGGAGAGAAGGAGATGCTTCCTTATAAAGTTATCATTTGTAACCAAAGACCTTTATGTTAACAAAAAAAAAAATCACTATTCTGAGGTAGTGATGTATTTTATATATGGCCAGGCTAATTCTTTTTTCTTTTCTTGGTGGGAATGGGGTTTGAATTCAGGGCTTCACATTTGCTAGACAGGTTTTCTACTACTTGAGCCACACCTCCAGTCCAACAGCTGCTTTTTTTAAAATTACAGCTGAAACCCCAAGGAATGTACACCAAAATGGCACATTGATCTGAAAGCACATTTTAGCTTTATGATGGAAATATTTTACCACCCACCTGGCCAAATAGATGATAATCAAATTCGTAGATCTTGTTGAACTTAGAAAGTCCTTCCCTCTATAAAGGAAAACAAAAGCAACGGAAAAATACAATCACATTAAAAAACAAGTAACTCCTTAAATAAGTAACAGGGTGCTGGTGGCTCAAGCCTGTAATCCTAGTTACTCAGGAGGCAGAGATTAGAAGGATCATGGTTCAAGATCAGCCCAGGAAAACAGTTAGCGAGATTCTATCTCGAAAAAAAACCAACACAAAAAATGGGCTGCCAAAATGGCTCAAAGTGGTAGAGTACCACCAAAAACAAAACAAAACAACAAAACCCCCAGAATTCCTTATAGATAAGAAGTAGGTTAATTACTAAGACCATTTATTAAGTGGTCCCACAAAACACAGTTACCAAGAATATAATTGATAAATTGATGGAAATTTTTTTGGCAGTACTGGGGTTTGAACTCAGGGCCTCACACTTGCTAGGCAGGCACTCTGCCACCTGAGCCATGTCCTGATCGAGCCCAGAATCTGGGGAATTTTGATTTTGGAAGGTAAACTTTAGATCAGTTAGTGTAACATTTTTTATAGACAGGAATGGACTTGTCCAAGGTCACCTGACAAATTAATGGCAGTCTCTTGACAATTTGTTCCTTTTCTAATCCGATACTGCAATTTTTCTATGACCTTGCTAATTCAAGATCATACAAGTACACCAATAATCTGTGACCAGAGCAAGTCATTCACTTTTCTTAGTCTCAATTTATCCCAAGTAAAGTCATCTCTGAGACTTCCTTCTAGCTCTGAAATCCAGTGACACTATGACCTAGAAGTAACTGCAATCCAATCAACAAAGAATTCTTCAGTTGCAATCGTAGAGGAGCAAGACCCTCTCTCTCAGTAGAGATCACCTTCTCCTCCACGGTCGTTCAAAGCAGTCATGCCTGAGTTTCATACCAACACTGAAAAGAAGACAGGAGGAAGCCTGTCTGCGGAATGGAAAATGTTGAAGGGCCCAGAAGGACCAGTATTTCCCTCAGCCTCAAAAAGACAATCTTTTTGTGTGTAGAATAGGCAAAATGATAATTTTTTTTTTTGAGGTGCTGGGGATGGAACCCAGAGCTTTGAGCATGCTTGGTTACTACAAAACCACTAAGCTACTATGGCACTGTACTACCAGTCCCATAATGGGATTTTGTTTTAAACTTTTTTTCTCTTTCTTTTTTGAAGGCCACTGACCTTACTGATTGGAAAAAACTTTACAAGGACAGTGACTGCTTTGCCAAAAAAGACTAAGAGAAGGGGGAAGCTCAGGAACATACTCAGGAAGCTGGTAACTGTCAATATGGAACTGGCAGGGGAAGGAGGATGAGGAATGCATGCAAGGGTGAGAATTCCAAAAAGGTTGAAATGGTGAGGGAGAGAACTCCCAAAAGACCCTGGAGTACATTGGTGGTTAAGTGTGATGACAGGAGGAAGGAGCCTCCACTCCGCTGCAACCTCTGGAGACTCAACCTAGGGGCTGGGGGCTGAGGACTCCCTAGAGAACATCACAAGAAGGCGGTAATACCACCCTTGAAGGCACCCAAAGTTGTCCAGGACTGCTTGGTGTTGGTGCCACATGTGTCCTTCAGCCATTACTGGAAGAGGCCTTCATTTTTCCTTAGCACCAGAAACTGGCCAAGGACCACACAGGCATTGTCAAAACTCCTTTCCTTTAGCTTCTTGCCCAGGACTTCACCAGTCCAGCTCAGGCTCCCTGCTAGCTTTTCCCTTATGAGCTCTGCCTGAAGTTTTGATGCTTTTGGGAGGTCATTATCTTGATTGGCCTTAAATGTCTTAATCATTACGATGGCTCCTCCTGCTAATTGGTAGCTCCTGCTGGTACCTTTTTACTTTCTTTTCATAATGGGATTTTTTTTTTTTTTTGGTACTGGGGCTTGAACTCAGGGCCTACACTTGAGCCACTCCACCAGCCCTATTTTTGGCTTTGAACCACGATCCTCCTGAACAGCTAGGATTCCAGGCATGAGCCACTAGTGCCTGGTGTATTTTTTTTTTTGGTGGCACTGGGGTTTGAACTCAGGGCCTCTATCTTGCTAGGCAGGTGCTCTACCATTTGAGCCACTCTACCAACTGGGTATTTTTTTTTTTTTTTTTTTTTTGGTGCTGAGTATTTTCAAGATAGAGTCTCACAAACTGTCTGGGATGGCTTTGAATCATGATTCTCCTGATCTTTGCTGAGCAGCCAGGGTTACAGGCATGAGCCACCAACGCCCAAATGAACTGACTTCTTTTTAAGAAAGCACTGCAGAACTCCCCAAACATACTTTGGTGTGAATCCTTTATTTCACAAGACAGGTACTTCGGCAACAATAAGGCTAGGTCCCAACTAATCCTATCTCCAGTCCAGCCCCAAGAGGCTCATGAGGTACACATCCATAGCCCTAAATATGTCTTGGGAACATAGGGCGAAAACCACTGTACTAGTCCTCTCCAAGTAGATGACTTATCTTAATGGCATGTCTGTGACTTCAGATCCAGGGCTCCTGCAAGACAGTCTCTTCTATCAATGGATAGTCTTGAGGATTTAAAATGTTTTTCCTGCTGGGAATGTACTCAGTGATATAGTGCTTGCCTAGCATGTGCCAGGGCCTGGGTTTGATACCCAAACTGAGAAACAGAAGAGCCAGGTGTGGTGGCATACACTTGTAAGTTCTGCACTTGGAAGGCAGAAGGAGGACTGAAAGTCTAAAGCCATCCTGGAAAACATAGTGAGACTCTGTCTCAAAAAACAAAAAAGGTAGCTGGGCACCAGTGGCTCATGCCTGTAATCCTAGCTATCAGGAGACAGAGATCAGGAGGATCAAGATTCAAAGTCAGCCCAGGCAAATAGTTTGCAAGACCCCCATCTCAAAAAAACCTTTCACAAAAAAAAGAGCTGGTGGAGTGGCTCAAGGTACAGGCCCTGAGTTCAAGCCCCAGTACTGCAAAAACAAAAAAAACAAAAAAAAAGAAAGAAAGAAAACCCATCTCCTCTAAGTGTTCCTATAGAAACTGATCATATTGTTGCCACTGACTCTATCCCCAAATGCTAAAGATTTCTCTTTCTGAATGTAAGAATTGCATTTGTGACTGGATATGATAGTCCACACTTATAATCCTAGCTACTCAGGAGGCTGAGATTGGAAGAATTGAGGTTCCAGCCCAGACCAAGCCAGGTGTGGTGATATGTGTCCATAATTCCAGCTAATCAGTGTGTACTTGCACAAGGACCTAGTTCAATTCCCAGTACTGAAAAAAAAATGCATTATGCATAGAAAAGTCCTCAAGGAGCTGGGGACTATGCCTGTAATCCCAGCACTCCCAACCCTCAGGAAGCTGAGGCAGGAGGAGGATTGCAAGGTTGAGGCCTGCGTGGACTCAACCCTTTTCAAACCCTGTTTCAAAAAAAAAAATCAACCAAACAGAAGTCCTCAAGGATCTATTAAGTTATTAATTGTGATCACCGTGGGGTGGGGTGGGGTGGAGTTTGTTTGATATAGATAAGTACTCTTTAAATTGTCTGCAATAAATACTACTGTTGAAAAGAAGAAAAAGATTCTATTTGTTAATCACTTTTTTTTTTGTTTTTGGTGAGACTAGATTTTTAAACTCGGATTTGTGCTTGTAAAGCAGGGCTCTATGGCTTGAACCACACCTCCAGTCCACTTTTCTATGGTTATTTTGGAGATGGTTCTCTCAAACTTTTTGTCCAGGCTGGTGAACTGCAAAATCCTCCAATCTCAGCCTCTCAAAGTAGTTAGAATCATAGCAATGAGCCACCATCCCCCAGCTTTTGGTGAATCTCATTTTACATATGAAGACTTTTTCAATAACAGATATCTAGTAAACTATCAAAAGGAAGACCTATTTTACAAATTTATTACTAAATACTTATTTTTCCAATTTTTGTATGTTATAAAGCTTCAATGACCATCACTTCATCCTGAGTTGTATCTGAAAGTCTTAACTATTCTATCAGAATTTAAGTTCCAAAAAGCAGGGATTCTGTGATTCAGTGCATACTGATCATGCCATTTTGATGGAGCAGGCTCTGTTTTAGAGATAAATCAGTAGAACTTGGCCACTGTCCTCAGGGAGGTGACATACTATGGACAGATGGACAGCTAGATAACTAGACCCTGGTGATAGACAAGAAAGATGAAAAGGTAACTGAAAACAGAAGGGAATGGGTGGGAGGATGCCCATTACATCCCATTACAAAAGAGTAGAATGTAAAAAAAAAAAAAAAAAAAAGTAGCCATTTAGGCTTTAATTTTCTTCTAAAAAAATGAAGAGTTCATAAGGAGGAAAAGCAAACATTATTCCAGGAAGAAGGACCAAATCTGCAAAAGCATGGGGAACTTTTACCTTTTAAACTGATTGCTTTTATCATTCTCTTCCCCTCCATCCATCTGCTTCTACCAAGAGTTCAGAGTCCTGACTTCCCCAAAACTGTCCCCCGCTGTTCACTCTTTAAATCCTCTGCTGCCAGAGTGACTTTATAAAACACAAATGACACCATTATTTTTTCCACTTAAAAACTTACCTAGCCTATCTTAACTGTTTAAAACATCGTTTATTTTATTTTATTTTTTTGGCAGTCCTAGGGTTTAAACTCAGGGCCTTGTACTTGCTAGGCATGAGCTCTATCACTTGAGTCATACCTCTAGCTGGCCTCCTTCAACTGATGGGGAAAAAGCATCTGACCAAAATTCAGCATTCTTTCTTGATTTAAAAACATTCAACAAACTAGGAATAGAAAGAAACTTCTTCAACATTAATACAGAGCATTAGTTCAAAGTCTACAAGCAACATCATACTCAATGGGGAAAGGGTGAAAGCTTTCCCTATAAGATCAGAAACAGCACTAAGATGTCCACTCTTGCCCTTACTACTCAACACTGTGCTAAAAGTTGCAGTCCAAACATCTGGACAAGAAAAAGAAATAAAAAAGACATCCCATTGGAAAGGAAGAAATAAAAATATCTCTAATCACAGACAACATGATCCTTTTTCTTTGAGACAGGTCTCACTATGTTACTATGTATCCCAGTCTGGCCTGGAACTTGCAGTTCTCCTGCCTTAACCTTCTAGTGCTGGGATTATAGGCATGCACCATCAGCCCAGCTTGATAACATGATCTTATATATAGAACATTCTAAAGAAACCACAAAAAAAAAACCCCACAAAATACAATTGTCAGTGCTAATAAAGAAATCCAGCAAAGTTTCAGGTTACACATTCAACTCACAAAAATCAGTACTATTTCTATACACTAGCAATGAGTAATTTGAAAGGAAAATTAAGAAATCAACTCCACTTATAATGGTATCAAAAAAAAAAAATTTAGGGCTGGGGATGTAGCTAGTTGGTAGTGTTTGACTGGCACACATGAAGCCGTGGGATTGACTGATCACAGCACCAATCACCAAAAAATTAATAAACAAAAACTTACTACAAAATTATAGTAACATGGGAGGAAGGGGTGGAGCTCAGTGGTTGTGATCGTGCTTTAACAGGGGTGAAGTCCAGATTCTGTCCCCAACACTGGGGGAGGGCAGAAAGACAAAAACTACAGTAATCAAAATAGCGTGGTACTGGCCTAAGGATAAACATACAGAATGATGGAATAAAATTGAGAGCCCAGAAATAAACTCAAACATCTATGCTCAACTGAAAAGAAATTTTTTTTTGAGATGGGATCTTTTCATGTTGCCTAGGCTGGCCTCAAACATCCTAGACTCAAGCAATCCTCTTGCCTTAGTCTCCCAAGTAGCTGGTAAGATAGGCATGTGTCACCACTGTCCGTGACTATAGTCAACTGATTTTTTCTATTGTTGTTTGTTTTGTTTTTTTCTGAGACAGGGTCTTGCTCTGTAGCCTAGGTTGGTCTCAAACTCACAATCTTCCTGCCTTAGCTTCTCAAGTGCTGGGATTACAGCATGAACCACCACAACTTTATAACTGATTTTTGACAAGGATGCCAAGTCCATACAAAGGATAGTCTTTTCAACAAATGCTGCTAGAATAACTGGATCTTCACTTGCCAAAAAATGAAGTTGGACCCAGACTCCACATGGAAATACTAACTCAAAGTGGATCAAAGACCTAAATGTAAGAACTATAACTATAAACTCTCAGAAGAAAACATTCAAATCTTTCTGACCTTGGATTAAGCAACAATGATTTATTGGATATACTACTAAAAGTGGCCAGGGATGTAGCTTAATAGTAAAACACTTGCTTTGAAGTGCAAGGCCTGGGTTTGATTGCCAGCACCACAAAACAAACCCACCAAAAGTGCAACCGACATTTCTCTGAAAAAGATAAACAAGCAGTCAAAAAGCACATGAAAAGATGCTCAATGTTTTTATTCAACGTTATTAGGAAAATGCAAATTAAAAACACAATGAGATATTACTTCACACAATGAGATATCACTACTAGTATGGTGATAAATTAAAAAAAAACCCCATTGTTCTTAACAATGAGAAATTGAAACATTGTTGGTAAGAAGGTAAAATGTTTAGGTCACTGAAAAAGTTCAATGGTTCCCCAAAAATTTAAACATAGGTATCATATATCCCAGCAATTCTACTCCAAAGAATTTACCCTCCAAATTACAAACAGGTATTCAAACAAAACCTGTACATGAATGCTTATAGCAGCTCTCTTCATAATAGCTGAATGGTAGAAACCCAGATGTCCACCAATTGATAAAATGTGATCTGTCCATACACTGAAACATTATTCAATCACAAAAAAGAATGAAGTACTAATATATGTTACAACACGGATGGATTTCAAAAATGTTATGCTACGTGAAAAAAGGTGGCACAAAAGGCCATGGATTGTATGGTTTCACTTGTAGGATATGTCAGAATAGGCAAATCCATGGGGACAGAAAGCAGATTAATGGTGGGCACTAAGAGGAGGAGATAAGACAGTGACTGCTTAATGGACTCCTTCTGAGGTGATAAGAAGTCTTTTCGAACAAGACAGTGGTGACAGCTGCACAACACTGTGAACTGTACACTTCAAAATGGCTAAAATGATAAATCTATGTGTATCTATGTGTACCACACTCAGCCATTCACATACAACTTACATGGCTCTCTAATATCCTCATGATCTGCCTTCAACAACTTCTTGTTTAACTTGCTGGCACCTCTTTCCCCAATACCACACTCCTAACTTCTCATTGGTTTTGAACATACCAAGCAGTTACATCCACTGGGATGTTCTTTACACTGTTTCCACTGCTTGGTAAAACTTTCCAGACTCAGCTCAAACATTCATCCAACCAACACATATTAAGAGTCTCCTGCATTTCAGACAATGTGTTGGGCATAAGGATACAGAAATTAACAAAATGTAGTCTTTGCCCTTTGGAGCTTAACCTCCAAGGAGAAGCAGTGAGAGAAATCAAGTAAGTAACTGCACACTACATTATGTAACTGTCCCTGGGAGATGCCTTCCTAGTAGAATAGCATAGCACTAAGGGTCCCTGGCTAGTGGTGGGAGGGTGAGGTGTGAGGGAAAGGTTCCTTGAAGGAGAGACATTTAAACAGAGTCCTAAAAGATAAAGTTAGTTAGGTGTAGCAGGGCCATTTGCAAGAGGCCAGAGCCCTAGAGGAAGGCAAACCTTGGTGCTGTCACCAGGACAGAGCTCTCAGCCAGTTCCCACTGTCCCCAGAGCGAAGACAAAACAAAACAAAACAACAACAACAAAAAAAAAACCCAAGAGTTCTAGAGAACCTAGGATCTGTAAAGAAAAAGGAACAGAGATATTTTGCCCTATGCTCTTAGAAATAGTCTCAGAAAAACCATTTCAAGATCTAGTCTTATTATATGAAATTTTCTAGAAATTTTTTTTTTTGGGCAGGTGATGGTGATGGAACCCAGGGCCTGGTGCACGTGCTCATTCCTTGAGTTCTGCCTCCAGTCTTTCTTTTCTTTTTTTTTTTTAAAACATATTTTGTTTCTTAGATAAGGCCTGCTAACTTTGCCTGGGCTAGCCTCCAACTCAAGATCCTCCTGTCTCTGCCTCCTGGCTACACCCAGGGCTGCTCAACAGCTCTTAAGGACCCTCATATCTTCTCTTTCCTTTGTGGTCCTAGTATGTGTCGAACACAACCATAGCCCTTACTTGTCTCTTATAATCAATCTACAGGAATAGAACAGGGCAGACTTCACTTCTCAGCCCCAAACATTACAGCACTGCCCCATCGGGTGCCATTAGGGACTGGAAAGTCACAGGGACTGCAGAAAGCAGGAAATGTAGCAGAGGATGGGGAGGGGCTCTGCAAGGTAGGGGGAAGATGGAATCAGGCAGGGCATGAATTCCAAGTTAAAGGAGTTTGGTGGAGTTACCGGCTTCCGGGCTCCGCTGCGCTTCTCTAGCTGTAGCCTTTCCTTTCTCTCTAATAAATCTCACTTTTATATATATATATATATATATATATATATAAAGGAGTTTAGTTAGGGGGTCTCCAACAGAACCCAACTTTACAATCACAAAGGAAGAATGTTAAAATATAGATATCCCCAGAATCGCTCCAGAGCCACAGGAACAGCCAATATGTTCTCCCGTGTTTGGGAGGATCAGACAAGTTTGGGAAAGCCGCTGCAGGCAAAGATCGAAAGTTTTCCAGCAAATGCATGAAATGGGTAGGAGGAGAGTCTGGGAGGGCAGCCAGGAGGCCTCTGCCACACCTCCACCCCCTGGCAGTCAGGCTTTAGAGGGGGGAATGTTACTGGATGAGAGATGAGGGATGAGGGAGGTTCCCATGCAAAACAGCGGGTATTTGAGATCCACAAAGTGAAAAACATTTCAAGGTGCCTCACAACAAGGAGTCTCACTAGGTGGAAGTTTTAGCAAGGATTTCTTTTAATATGACAGGATAAAAGTAGGGAGATATGGGGGGGGAGGTAAACATATCCTCCTTCCCCCATTCCAGCAGGAAATGGGAATAAAGATTTGGACCACAGGCGTTTTAGAACTTCTCTTGGCAAGGCATGCCTTTCATTTTTCTGTCCCTCTATCACCTTCTCGCTTTCATTTCGATTTGGGGGTCCCACCGGGCTGTCCCGCTGGGTGGCTTCCCTCACAGAGCGCAGCTGACCGGAAACGCTTCTTACCCGCCTCATGCGACCGTTGGACAGCAGGTCGGCGATCCCCTTGGCCGCGTCATTTTTCTCCGCCACACAGAGGACTTTCCGCACGCCTCGAAGAGCCACTTCCATGGCGGCCCGGGACAAGGCACGGTCTCCCGATCGTCGCAGCCACGGGAACACGAAGCGGGCAACCGGGACGTTCATCCCTAGGCTCGGAGCGGGCAGCCGCTCCCCGGATGCCCGCGCATGTTGGGGAAACCAGAGAAAACGAGAGCCTCTGGGAGCTGCTCACGCTTTCTGTCACCTTCCCGCCAGCACGCTGGCCTTCACAGTTGCGCCTTCTTCCGGCCGCCGCCGCCACTGCACCCAACGCCGCACCTTAGACTCCCGCTTCCGCCCGCCTTCTCCGGCCACTTCCGCCAAGCGCGACTCCCAGACTGCCTCACGCTCCGGAACTCACTCCCAAACTTGCGTCTTCCCCTCCTTCCCGTGCAGTTCTGGCCCACTTTACCGTCCTTCAGGATAGCGGTTGGTTAATCGTACTTGTTCCCAGAAGGGGTCTATGCTGTCTAAGGCGCTCGCCTAAAATCCTTTTTTCTCCTGCTCGGAAGTCTTTGAGGACGCTTCCGGGTCACGCGGTGCTGATGACCGGGAGTCATGTGATACCAAGATGGCGGCTCCGCGGTAGCTGGCTGCGGGTTGTGGCGTCCGAGGACCCGCGACGGTTTCTACCCTCTGGCCGTGGGGGCGGCAACGCTTGCTGACCCCTGCGGCGGCCCGTAGCCCGTGTTAGGCACTCGATCTGGGCGGGGGCTGTTGTTGTCCGGGTGGGTTCGGAGGAGTGTAGGTGATCTCGCTGCAGGTATCTTGCGCTGCCTGTGCTCGCCGGAGGAGGAGGAGAGCGACAAGCCACCTCTGTCATCTGGGCCCACAGCTTTGGAGTTCATGAAGCCTCTGGAGGAACTACACCTCTGAGGGGCTGCTGGAATTCGAGTCCTCCGGTATGTGAGAGGCAGCCCAGAACCCACGGGAGGGCCGCAAGGACTTGGCTTCCTCCTTCAGAGGCTTGGCTTCACCGCGTCGATTAACACTGCGTTCTTTGACACTTCCTCTCAATGTTCTCTCCATATATCAGGAAATATGATCAGCGCCCCTGATGTGGTGGCCTTCACTAAAGAAGACGAGTACGAGGAAGAACCTTACAATGAGCGGGCCCTGCCCGAGGAGTATTCGGTGCCGCTCTTCCCCTTTGCCAGCCAGGGAGCCAACCCTTGGTCTAAACTGTCCGGGGCCAAGTTCTCGAGAGACTTCATACTTATTTCTGAGTTCTCTGAGCAGGTGGGACCCCAGCCTTTGCTAACCATCCCCAATGACACCAAAGTTTTTGGCACTTTTGATCTCAATTACTTCTCCCTTCGGATCATGTCTGTGGATTACCAGGCTTCCTTTGTGGGCCATCCTCCTGGTTCTGCCTACCCCAAGCTGAACTTCGTGGAGGATTCCAAGGTAGTGCTGGGAGATTCTAAGGAAGGGGCCTTTGCATATGTGCACCACCTTACCCTGTATGACCTGGAGGCCCGTGGCTTTGTGAGACCCTTTTGCATGGCTTATATATCAGCAGACCAGCATAAAATTATGCAGCAATTCCAGGAGCTCTCAGCCGAATTCTCAAAAGCATCTGAGTGCTTGAAGACAGGCAACAGGAAGGCATTTGCTGGGGAACTTGAAAAAAAGCTAAAAGACTTGGATTACACTAGGACAGTGCTGCACACAGAAACAGAGATCCAGAAGAAAGTCAACGACAAAGGCTTTTACTCATCTCAGGCAATTGAGAAAGCTAATGAACTGGCCAGTGTGGAGAAGTCCATTATTGAACATCAAGACTTGCTTAAGCAGATCCGCTCATACCCTCATCGGAAGGTGAAGGGGTCTGATTTGTTTCTTGATGAGATGGAGCATACCCAGGATGAGACCAACCAAGCACTCACTACCTCTAACCCTGATGAGTCTGCTGACACAGACCTTTACACCTGCAGACCAGCTTACACTCCAAAACTCATCAAAGCAAAGTCTACCAAGTGTTTTGACAAGAAGTTGAAGACCCTGGAGGAGCTCTGTGACACTGAGTATTTCACCCAGACCCTGGCGCAGCTTAGCCACATAGAGCACATGTTCAGAGGAGACCTGTGCTATCTACTGACCAGTCAGATTGACAGAGCACTTCTAAAACAACAGCACATAACAAACTTCCTCTTTGAAGACTTTGTGGAGGTTGATGACAGGATGGTGGAGAAACAAGAGAATGAGCCCTCTCAGCCCAGTCAGGATAAGCTGCCTTCCAGGTCTCTAGAAGAATTTCCCATTCCTAAAGTGTTAATTAGTGTTGGTTCTTATAAGTCCAGTGTGGAGTCTGTGTTGATCAAGATGGAGCAGGAAGTTGGAGAAGAGGAGTACAAAGAAGTGGAAGTGACAGAGTCAAGCAGTTTTGACCCCCAGGAAAACCTGGACTACCTGGATATGGATATGAAAGGGAGTATCAGCAGTGGGGAAAGCATTGAGGTTCTGGGCACAGAGAAGTCCACCTCTGTGCTGTCTAACTCTGACAGCCAGGCCAGTCTCACTGTGCCATTGAGCCCCCAGGTGATCCGGAGCAAGGCTGTCAGCCACAGGACCATCAGTGAGGACAGTATTGAAGTCCTGAGCACCTGTCCTTCTGAGGCCCTCATCCCTGATGACTTTAAGGCCAGCTACCCAAGTGCCATTAATGAAGAATCCTATGCAGATAATGAAGAGGCCATCCGCTTTCTGGCAAGCATCAGACCACCAGAACTGGGTGATGCTCAGGAGGACAGCTTGGAAAACACTCCATCACAAGCAGACTCCTCCTGCTGTATTGGGAAGGACAGCGAAGGTCAACTGGTGTCACTGCCCACTGCAGCCCACACTCTTTCTGATGAGGTTGGTGTGGTGAGCATTCCCCCACAGCGCTACAGGCAGAAGGACCAGGAGTTCCTTGTGGATTTTGTAGCAGAAAATGCCAACCCTTCTTCCCGAGACAACAGTTGTGAAGTGCTCCCAGCTTATGAGCTGGACCCAAACCGCCTGCTGGCTAGTCGGGATGTCAGTAAGACCAGCCTGGACAACTACTCAGACACCAGCTACGTGAGCAGTCTAGCCTCCACCAGCTCAGACAGGATCCCCTCTGCTCATACTGCTGGTCAGTCTTCTGAGAGACATAAAAAGAAGGCTGGCCTGAACGCCTTAAAATTCATTCGTCAGTACCCCTTTGCCCACCCGGCCATCTACTCCCTGCTCAGTGGGAGGACACTTGTGGTCCTGGGGGAAGATGAGACCATAGTCAGGAAGCTTGTGACAGCCCTGTCAATCTTTGTTCCCAACTATGGCCGTTATGCCAAGCCTGTGAAGCACTGGGTCTCCTCCCCTTTGCACATTATGGATTTTCAGAAGTGGAAGCTTATTGGCCTACAGAGGTAACTGGTTCCAAGTGGTGGTGATGGTGGTGGTAGGGGGCATTGCTAGTTAAGAGATGAGGCAGGTTGGTGTTGTGGACCCAGAATCAGGAGGCTTATTTCTAGACCCAACACCAACTCACTGTTAGTTTGTTACTTTCTTCAATTCACTACTTCGGCTTCTGTTTCTTTGTGGGGTGGGGTGGGGAGAAAGAGGGGAGAGGTGGGGGGAAGGGTCGCTGTTCTTAAGCTGTTACCAACCCTGGTCTGTCTCCCTTGTTGTGTCAGAATTGTTTGGGTGAATTTTTAAAATCTTGTGGATTCCTGGGCCCTATACCTAGAGATTCATACTCAGTTAGTCTGGGGCAAGACATGGAATTTATCTAGTGTACAGTGAGTCTGGAAATTCCTAGACTTGAAGAGCTCAGGTTCTTTTTGGCTTTTGAATTCACACTGTTATAAATCATGATCATCACTGTGGGAGGGACAGAAGGGCTCCACTGGCTTTCTGCTGCCCTGTTGGCTCTAAGCTGGTTTTTTTTTTTTCCATACTTGTGTTTGAACTCAGAGCCCTGTGGTTGCTAGGTAGGCACTCTACTGCTTGAGCCACACCGCAGCCTAGAAGAGGGTATTAATAAAGAGGTGCAAGAACCAGTCCCTTCTCCTCTGATTTCTATTCTGTTCCCCTACTTTCTTTTTTTTTTTTTTTTTTTTGCTGTACTGGGGTTTGAACTCAGGGACAACACCTTGAGCCAATCCACCAACCCTTTTTTGTGAAGGAGTTTTTCGAGAGAAGGTCTTGTGGAACTATTTGCCGGGGCTGGCTTCGAACATTAATCCTTCTGATCTCTGCCTTCTGAGTAGTTAGGATTATAGGTTTGAGCCATCAGGGCCCAGCTATTCATTCTTTTTGTTTGTTGGTTTGTTTTTGCAGTATTGGGGTCTGGGGGGCCTCAGGCTTGCTAGGTTGGCAACCTACTACTTGAACCACGTTTTCCCTTCTGCTTTAATAGGCCCTTTTGTCTTTCCAAATACTGCTTCACAAGTCTAGCCCTGGGCCTCTCCCTCAGTGTTGCTCTGTGTTCAGTTTCCTTAGTTTTGACCTTAGGCCAGTCGCTTTCCTTCTTTGCACCTGCATTGTTCATATGTAAAACAAGTACAAGGTAGGTGACCACTAGAGTCTCTTCTAACCACTTAGAAAGTGCAAAGATAACTTCTTCTGTACTGCAGTCAGCAACCATTTGTTCTTTTATTTACCTGGGTCCCTGGTATCACTGAAGTCCCACTTCCCAAGGCTCTTTATGTTTGCCCCTCAGGTGGAAGTCAGCTGACTCACCCCGAACCTCACTGCATTAGACTTTACCCTGGTGGTGGCAGTGGGGTCTCCTCAAGTGCTACTTCCGCATCATGACTTGAGTCACTTGTGGTGAATCCATTCCAGACTGTTGGGGACCAGCTGGAGGTACCTGAATAAGGCTACTGCTCTGGAAGAGTCCAGGAGAGGAGACAGGCAGGTGCCTAGAACATTGCATGCAGGGAGACTAACAGCAGGATACTTCTATTCTAAGACAAGGGAACAACATAGTGAGGGTGGTACTTGGAGAAGGGCTTGGGTCGTTGGCTGAGTGGTAAGCAGAGTGGGGTCGCCAGCCACTAAGTCAGGAAGGCCAGGTGAGGGGCCAGACACTGGAGAGAGTGCCGGGACGCCACTAGATGAGCTGTTTTTCAGGCCTCACAGGGAAACCATCCAGTCCTTATTTCTGGTCTGTTCCCCAAAGGAAAGGCTTTCCTGGACTGCTTTTTGCTGCAGTTACTTGTGGAATAAGGGGCCAGTATTCTCACAATGTCTGTTCTCCAATTCTTTCCCCTTACTCTAACCTTGACCTTTGACTTTGTAAAAGGTAGAGACTCTCAAGACATGAGTAGGACAGCTCATCATTCTGTCAACATAGGATGGTGTATCTGGGACCAGGCTGGCCTTTTCCAAAGGGTTTCCTGAATTTTCCTCTAAAGCCACTGCCGGATGGTGAAACAGGCTTGGCTGGTCCACTGAAGGGCCTTGTTGAGGGCTTCTGAGGGCCAGGCTGGGTTGAGCTGAAATGGCTGTCAGTGATTGGTAATGATGTCATGAGGGTGCCTATGAGCAGTGTGTTTGCCCCTGGAGAGGAAGAGGAGACCTGGGTTGGTCTGAGTTCTGAGGCCTCCCTGCTCTGGCTCATTCATGGTGGGTACATGGGCAGGGTCACTCCTTTCTAAGAAAGTAAGAGGGTTAGATCACTAAATGGTTATTTGCCAAATATTTATGAAGGCAGCTAAGTGGCAATTACAAGGTGGAGGCCAGCCATGGAAACTCTGTTCTCCACTCTGTCACTGTGCTGCCAGCTTGACCTCTCTCAGACTGTTTCCTCCAATGCAGACAGAGATGATGAGTCTGCCTCATGATAGCAGATGTCACAGGGCCCATGGAATCTGTGCCTGATAAGTGTGAGCACTCCCCTAACACCCTAGGGGACTTTGAGGGAGGCAGGCTGGGCAGCAGGCTCCAAATGGCCCTGGCCAGCCAGACTTCAGGGAGCAGCCCTCAGAAGTGACAGCTGAGGCTATTGCCTAGACTTCTGAATGGGAAAGTGTCTGAAAGCTTCTTTTATTACACTGCTTTCATACCTAGAGGGACATAGATACTGGGCATCAGGAGCCCAATGTCCTGCACAGGCAGGGATTGGGAGGCCTATACTCCAGGGTATGAGTCCCAGAGGGTCAGTGAGGGGCCAGAAGTGGTGTGGCAATGGGTTGGCTACAGCTCACCCAGAGAAGCCCTGGGGGAGCTAAGCAATGGCTGTGGTACTGGTGCATAATGAGGTGAAAACTGTCATGGGCTGTGGCTATTGCAGACAGAGCAGAAGGATTCTGGGTCAGGCCACGGTGCTGCCACCACTTGCTGTGTTGATTTGGACCGGCTGCCTCCTTATTTATTCACTTCCAAATTGTGTTGGTCCCCTGTGCGTCTGCCCAAGTGGCCCATAATACCCACAATGGTTACGATGCCAAGCTCTAACACAGCACCTGGCCTTGGAAGTGCTCAGAAACATGGACGGACAGTGAGTCCCCTAGAAGGCAGGACTGCCCTTGACCCAGGGAGGCAGACTGAGGCCCAGCTTTACAAGTGAAACTGAGTGGGAGAAGTGCCTTTGTGGGGGTCCTGACCTTGTCTACAGAACTGTTGAGCTGTAGTGGGGCTGCTCCTGTGTGCTGGGCTCATCTGGAACCAGCTCAGATGATGAACAGACTCTTCTTGAACCATCTGCCTCACTGGCCCTTGATTCTTTTCACCCTGTACAGGTCTTCTATCTGGAAACACTTGTTAGTTGGATTAGCTAATCATTTTAAACATTAAGTGAACACCAGGGAGAAGTGTGGTTTACAAAGCCGCAATTACAAGCCTCAGACTGCTGGATAAAGAGGACTCAGTTCTGGTGGGAGAAAGTGCTCATGGGGGTAGGAGGCCTTGGTGGAGTCCTGGCTAACTTGACCTTGACCTCAGACAAGAAATGGCTTCTCCTGGGCCTCAGTCACTTTGTGGGTGACAAGGTTGTCTCCCTCTTTCAGATGGCCATAGTGGCCTAAGACAAGCTTGGGAGATGAATGGGCCGTGCTCACTGCACAGAAGTCTGGGGCCTATATCATGTGTCTTGAGGAGGAGCTTTGAAAGATACAGAAATGGAAGAAGAGTTAGAAGCAACCAGCATCTTCCAGAAGAAGTGGTGCCATCATTGAGGGGGGCAGGGAAGGTGCCAGAACTACACTGTAGGAGACTGAGCCTGAGGTGGGACATCCCAGCAGAGATAGACTTCCCAGCAGGTGGGAGGTGAGGCCTGGGTATGTTAGTGAGGCAGAGCCTAGGGGGAAGAGGGGTGGTATATACCGAGCTGCGAGAGTTGAGTGATGTGCTGGGCCTCCAGAGGAAAGTCAGGATACTTCAGAGGCATACTGAGCGTGAGGAAGAAGCCAGTACATAATCAGGAAGGCCTCTAGGAGGTGGATGCATTGAGGCACTGGGGCCTCAGTGGCACTTGGGGAGGCTGGCTTACAGACCTCTCACTACTCTTCTAAACTTTCTCAACTGTTCACTGCCCACAGGCCCTGATTTCCCCCTTGCCCATGAGGTGTGCTGTCCTGCCCACTACTCCTTAGGGTTCAGGGCACAGGGTCTGTGTGGGTCTTGCTATTCCAACTCTGATCTTGCCTTGCATGTTAGACAGGACTTCCACAGTTCCCAGAGCCCACCCTCCTTCCAAAGTTCAATTCTGAGGCTCTTCCACAAACCCCTTCAGTCTCCCATGGAGTCTGACACATTTCCCTTCACCTTATTGTAGTGGGTTGTGCTATAGTGTAGAGTAAGATTCCAAGTCATTCTTCATTATGGTTTCAGCTCCAAGATCAGTGCCTAGTATGTAGTAGATGCTTAATAAATGATTGTTAAATATATAAGAAGATAACAAACCTAGTAAGGAAAGTATGTGAGATGACCTTGGTTCCTGTGGCTGTCAGTCCTTTTCACAAAATGTCCATGTCTGACTTCAAGCCCTAAATGTCAGAGGTGGATTGTTTATAAAATCTCTTATTAGCAAGCCATTTGCCAGATAGACAGGACATTTGCAAGATAGAGCAGGACAATCTCTGCTCTTCTGGGAAAACTGCTTTAGGAGAGGAATTTTGTTTGTTTTCTTGCAGTGCTGGGGATGGAACCCTAGTACATGCTGGGCTAGCGCTCTACCACTGAACCACACCCCAGCCCTGGAGGAAGGTTTTTAAGGAGGAGTTTTCCCCTCCATGGACATACACCACCTTTCTGCCTGTGATGTGTTGGGCAGCGGGGACATGAGATGAAATCAGATAGGTCTCCAGAATGGAGAAGCTCTTTGTCCAGGGAGACAAGGACAGCAGAAACGACATGGGTTGGTGTGTAGTAGTAAAGATGATAACAGCACCTGCTAAGGGCCAGGCAGTAGAAACTATTATCTGTATCTCACATACGAAGCTCAGAATGGGTAAAGAGCTTGACCAGTGCCATAGCACAGAAGCAGAGGAGCACAGAAAGGTGGATCAGGGAAGGCTGAATACAGTTTAAATAGATGAGGGTCAAGTCCACGAGGGAGAGAAGGGCATTCATGGGAGAGAAAATAAATGGTTTTGGAGACCCCCATCCCCCCAGTAGCTTGGCCTACTTTCTGGAGAGTTTATTTGGGGAAGTAATAAGAGTGTGAGAGTCAGATTGCACAGGGACTTATGGGCCAAGCCAAGGCGTTTGAAGTTGGTCATGAGGGTAGTGAGAAGCCCTTTGAAGCTTCCTGATGATCATATTGGCCTTCTGGAAGGAGTCACTACATGCCAGCTGGGTGGGAGCTGGTCTGGGACAGTGAGCCTGAGTGCCTTCCTCCATCTTCCTGATCCCAGCCCTGCCCTTTCTCCTGACCTTGGCCTGTCTGTTTCAGAGTGGCCTCCCCTGCCAGCGCGGGCACCCTCCATGCCCTGAGCCGCTATAGCCGCTACACGAGCATCCTAGACCTGGACAACAAAACCCTGCGCTGCCCACTGTACAGGGGCACACTGGTGCCCCGTCTGGCCGACCACCGCACGCAGATCAAGCGGGGCAGCACCTACTATCTGCATGTCCAGAGCATGCTCACCCAGCTCTGCTCCAAGGCTTTCCTCTACACCTTTTGCCACCACCTGCACCTGCCTGCCCATGACAAGGAGACACAGGAATTGGTGGCTAGCCGCCAGGCCAGCTTCCTGAAGTTGAACCTGGGCCTGGTGAATGAGGATGTCAGGGTTGTTCAGTACCTGGCTGAGCTTCTGAAGCTGTACTACATGCAGGAGTCTCCTGGGACCAGCCACCACCTGCTCAGGTTTGACTATGTCCCCAGCTTTTTGTACAAAATCTGAGGTTGGTCCCAGCCACTGTGACTAAGACCTGTGACTCAGGGTACAGGGAGGGAGGGGTTGGCATGACTAAATGGTTGACTCTTGAACCTTCTGGTATCATCAGCAGAAAGGAAACAGGTAGCATTCGTGGTTCCCATGTGGCTCTGGGCAGCTTATGAGGTGGGCTGAGTAGAGGTGGAGCCTGGTGCTCTGGAGGCATCTGGAAGGACAGTAACAGCTGCCTTTGGCTTTCTGGTGGAGAGGAGGAGTCTTTGGCTTTCTGAGGACTGGCAACCTGGGCAGGAAGAGAAGGCCCCAATACCTCGGAGAGGCTGGAAAAGGAGAAGGCTGGGGCAGCCAGTGCCTGGATGGGAGGATTGCAGTGGTCTCATTAAACATCACCGGACACGAGTGGCAAAATCGGCCAAGGAAGCAGCCCATTAGCAGTGATGTGGAAAACAGGACAGAACAGCCATTGCCTCATCCAATCCCACTGTGGGCCTCACTTGGCCTGGAGCCTTTCTTGCTAGGGGGCAAAGAGATGAGGGAGGGAGCTCTGTCCAGCCAGAGAATGGGAGGTGCATGCTTGGAGCTCCAGATTACACAAGTGGCCCCCTTGTCCTGTTCTTACCTCCACTGGGAAAGAGCCTGTGAGCAGCCATGGAGGTCACTCATGGTCATCACTAGGCCAAATTATGAAGCAGGCCCCAGATGACCACAGCCAGTGTGGGAACTGCCCTGGGAGCTGCAGACGGAGCAGGCTATGAGTCCATCACCACTGTGCAAGACATGAGCCGCCAGCAGCTCTCCTGGGTCTGCCCCTTGGTTCTTCCCAGCCAGAGTACCTGAGCCCTGACTTCCCTGGAAAGATCCACAGACACACTGGGAAGCAGCAGAGGTCATACTCCACTTGCCACCTGCGGCAAACCTCTGCAACCATTTTACTACCTCTCATGGGGTCTTGTGGGCTTGGCAAAGGCAGAGTTCTGTTCAGCTGACTGGTGTGGGTACCAAAAACAGAGAGTAGGGACTTCCTGGACCAGCTCATGTGGCTCTCCTTATGGACCTGCCTCTGGGAGGCTGTGTCCGCCTATGTCCCCACTGCTCACAACTGTCTCTATGAGTCCCCTTCAAAGAAGGCATTTGAAACTGGGAAAGAGATGCCCTCTGGTCATCCACACCTGTCCCAACAAAGATCAGTGCTGCTTCCCTGGGGCTTGTTATGCATCTGCCACTGGTATGTGGATGGAGGGCTTCTCATAACCTTGAAAATGTCAGACCTTATTTTTTTTTTTATAAAGCTGGATTCCACCCCCCTTCCCCCAGTGGAGAAAACTCTGGTATCACTGCTTCTTTTTAATTTGTTCCATGAAAATTGTAAACTGGACCCAAGTCAGCCCTGTGTATACATCTACTGGCTACTGCATTCCCTGCACTTGGGTTCTGGTGCCTCGGCTTAGTCTCCCTGTCAGCTGTGCACACAACTGAGGTCTTGCACAGAGGGAGCCAAGTGACCAAAGATGGCTTATGGCACATCACCCTTGTGGTTATCTTCCTTGCCAAGGTTTTTGGCACAAGGATGTATGTCCATGTTGGTTCCCACCACTGGCTTTAGGTCACGGTCCCTGATCTGTCAGAGAGTGTGATTTTGCTTCTGAGCCTGTGATGGAGAAACTTTTGTGGCAGATGGCACTGGCTGTATCTGTTCAGTTCTCTGTCACTGGACTCATTATAGTCACCTTGGCAGCTACTTACTGAGATGTCCATTTTTCCTTGTGGGTTCACTCATCTACCACCTCCCTCCTAGCATTTTAGATGCCACTTTGCTTTCTGATTGGATGGGTACATGCTATTCCTCAGGCCTCCAAGACTGTGATAAAATGACAAGCTGGGAAGTGGTCTACCGCTGTCACATTGTGTGTGAAACTCAGCTAACACTGTGCTCACCTGGGAAACTGATAAAGGCAGAAACTGAGTTTTGGGCAGATACTGAACTGCAGCCACACTTGGCCTTCTACTAAAGTCATGCATTGCAGTGGTGTTAGGTGGGAATCCACTTGGGGGTATTTGTTTTGCACTCAGCCTCAAGGGTGGCTCAGGACAAAGGCAAGAGACTGATGGGAGTGGACACAACACAGTCCCACGTGACAGCCATAGAAATGGCAGATGGGGTGCCTCTCCCTTGAAATGATTCTTCATTTAAGTAAAAATGGCTTCACCGACTGAGGGATTAAACTCCAGAGCTCTAGATTTTGGCTTAAAAACTGACTTCTACATGGTGATTTCAAAAGATTACTGATGCAAAGCATGCTTCCTTTCAGAGAAATCTCAGTGACACTGGGACTGAGTTATAGCTTGGGCACAGGTACTGGACACTCTGCCCCTCCCTAGCTTCTCTGCTTTGGAGGACTAGAACTTTCTAGAAGTCTTGCATTTATATCCCTTGATGGTGTGGGGACCTATGCAATGGGACTCATCTTTTCAAGAGTTTCCATCTGAGGTAGTCCTCTAGTAATAGGTTAGTAAGTTTTAATACACTGAAAAACACCTCCCAGAAAGGTATCAGAACTCCGTATTACTTTTTCAGTCCTGTCACTTTTGTGGGCCCTGGTAAAACTGGTAGTTTGAGGCTTGTTTCAATTTGACCTCCAACCCATTATTTGTCTCCCTCAGTTTTTAGAGCCTAGGTTAAGAACCACTGGATCAGGCTGGCAGCTATGCACTAATGACGCCAAGAAGCTCCACTGTAGGTAGAGGTCAGCCCCTGGCCTCCTGTAGCAGGCAAGGCATGCCAGCCTGAACTGCTGCCTCACTTTCTCCAGGAACCTCACTGCTTTAGTGGAACCATCGGATTTTAGAAATTGTGATTTTCATAATTTACAACAGCAGCTGAAGTCATATACATTGTTCCCAGATTGGAAATGGACTGTGATAGCAAATCTGTTATTTCCCATCTGCCTTTTAATTCCTTGTTTCAGATCAGTTGCTGTATTCAGAGTATAGTAGATTTCAACCCCACCCAAATAACAAGTCCCATTTCAAAAATTCTAGGGAGGCCAGGAGATTTCGCCTCAAGTGCCAGGGCTGTGGTTTTACAATGCAGTTTGGAGGCAGAGAGCTTTCTGCTCCCTGGACATCCTACATGCACATTGCCCAGCTGCTTGTGCTAAGTGCGTGCCCGATGCCCCAACCCTATGCTACATTAGGGCCGGTGTCGTGTGCTGCTATGTTGCCTTGTTGGTACAACTGGCAGCATCAGCTCAACCAGTGGAGGATGCGCCAGCAGGTATGCCAGGTCTTCTGGAGGAACTGAGCTGCCACAGCAGCCAGCCAGGCAGGTAGGTCTCTCCCAAGCTTTTACCTTCTGCCTCTCTAGAAAGCTCACAAGATGCCTTTCCTTGTACCTTGAAGCATCCTAGCCAGCTTTCTGACCTTGTCCCAAACAGTGATAGAATTGGCATCTTTAAAAGAGATAACAGTATTATATTAACAGGCTGCAAAAAGGAAAAAGCATCAGATTTTTTACTTCTGCCTGGAAAGTGAAACCACTCTGAGCTGATAAGGTTGGGTACACTTAAGTTTTCCTGAATCCAGTCCCCTGAACCTTTAAGGTTTGGTTAAAGCATTGGGAAGGAGGTGGCAGGAGCTGATGGGGTATGGGGATGGGAAATGAGACAGCACACTAATGGGACCCAGCTTCCTGGGAGGAACTGTTCAGCTCAAGAGGTCATACACAGGGGTCCTGGAGATGTGTGGCAGTCTAGCTAAGCAGGAGTCAGGCTACTGGATATATGACTGCTTGGGCAGCATAGCAGCTCCCAGATTGGATACAGAGATGTGGAGACTGCCACAGCTGTCCCCACATGCAGCAGAGGAAACACCAATAACAGTCCAGACTCTAGGGAGTCACTGTCAACACTGGATAACTAGAGCCACAGTTTGAGATACACTGCCTTCAAGGTTGCAGTAAGAAGCAAAGGCTGTGACGAACTCGTACTTGTTATTTTCTAAAAAGCTATTTTATTACTGCATGTTCCCACCGTGTCTGTGAATGTGCGTTCCAACCCCATGCACTGCAGTCAGTGCTTGGAGCCAGAGTTTGACTAACGTGTGTGACTGCGTCTCATGGTTGCTACTGCACAAGAGTTTAACCAGAGTTAATGCCAAACAAATAGTATGAGTATACTTTTTAAGAAATTAATTTATTTGAGTTCAGATATTTTTGAAATACAAAAATTAGTTGTATTTTTTAAAGCTGTAATTCTTGTAGACACTCTGTGGTTAAAAATTTGATTGTGCTTATTAAAAATGGTAACTTATGGTTTGCACTTCAGCTATGTGAAAAATAAAGACTTTTTGGGAAGGTGACATTTGAGTTCCTCATTACAGGAGAGTTTTGTTTATTTCGGGCAGGTGGAGTGGGACCATCTCCTGGCCCCTTGCTGATTCTCACACCAGGAAGGGACCAGGCATGTTCCAGGGGGGAGGTGGAAAACATGGTCAGGATGCTAGGGACGGAACCCAGGACTTCTAAGTGATACCCCCAGACTTTCCACTTTGGGCTGCAAACCCTCCCACCATACTGGGTACTGGGTACGTCTGGTACCCCTGTCTAAATTGCAATTTAAAACGCAGAGCAGAAGATTCAGAATTGCCCTGTATGACTAATGGTCATAATTCAGTCTTCCTCTGTCATACTATTGGGCAACAAAATAGGAAGAATGGGCAGCATTTATAAGCTGTGAACCTGGCATTTATCTGTTGCAGCAAGTCAGGGGAAGAGCTCAGCTAATTTACAGAAAAGGGAGGAAAGTACTGGAATTTTTCTCATAGCCCTGCCCTGTATTGCTATCTGTATGACTAAGGCCAAGAGAGTGCCCAGTATTTTTTCAAGAATAATTATATACAGCTGTTGAGAAAGTGAGGTTCAATTTAAAATTCCTTAATAATCTGTCCATGAAGTAATTATGAAACTTACATAAATTTTGATTTGTGAAAATATGAGAGGTCTGAAAGAAAAGCCCCCAGAAGGGCAGAGGGGCTCAGTAGGTCCCCTGCTAGGCAGCTATATTGTATCTCTCAAGAGATCAGCAGGCTTCCTGGGCAGTCTGGCCACCCAGCAGGAGCAGGGAGTAGGCTGGCTCCTTCAGATGTCAGGCAGTCCAGGCAGCGGGAAGGCAGAAGCGAAGCTCTCTACTTCCTCCCGGAGAGCCCGCACAGCCATCTGGTACTTCTCATCCCCTGCCAGTTTCTCCTTGAATTCCTTCAGTGTGGCCCTCATGTTCATGTCATTCTGAATCTGCAGAGTCAACTCTATCCCTGTGTGCAAGACAAAGTCTCCTGTGGGACTGCCCCCACAAGATACTGCCACAATGTCCTCCATGGCCGAGAGTGACCAAGTTTTATAGGTGTCAGTGTTCTGCTCAGAAGTGATTCTTGTGTGGTATCCTCAGCCAGTATGTCCCCTGTTCCCAGCACTCAGCCTTGATACAGAAACACCCTTCAGTGGGTGGCAGGCAGGGGTGGTCTTAGCTATGTAGGCACATCAGAAACTCCATGCACACAGTAAGACCCAGCAGACTTCTAAAACCTTACACTTACCTCTGTGGATAAAGTGCGCTACTTTTTTGAAGTCTTTTTCCAAAAGTCCTCGAGATGTCAGTGCTGGGGTCCCCAGTCGCAGTCCGCTGGGCCGCAGTGCGCTCCTGTCACCTTTAAGACAAACAGAGCCCTAAGCTGTACCCAGCGCACCACTGTGGCCACCATGCATTTAAAAATGTACACTTAGGCAAAAGAATTGGCCTGAGGGAGGATTCTGGCTCCATCTAGCTAAAAACTAGAGGTGGAACTCAAGGCACATGGTGACAGGATGCAAAGTAGTCTTGTGATGTGGCTCTTGCTCCTACAAAGGAGGATAACACATCTGAGATGTGTTGCCAACATCTTTTTAACACACTGGGGAATGCTTCCTGTTTTCAAAGAATCTCGCCTCTCTCATCAACCGCTGTGCTCCTCATTAGCCTTTATCTTTCTGCTTCCTGCAGGTTGAAAGTCAGGTGCAGAGGAAAGGGTGGGGAGAAAGCCCAAGGTCACCTTCCCCTTTCATGGTGTATCTGTTACCCCCAATCATCTGAGGCCTGTCCCACAAGCCAAATACCTTCATCAGCTACAACTCATGTTAGAAGAAATGCAGACAGGAGGAAGGTGGGAGGGAAAATCACAGTGGAGTCTCACCTGGGCAGGTATTCTTGTTGCAGGCAATAGAACAGGCTTCTAGCACCTTCTCAGCCCTTCCACCATCTGTGCCCTTGGAACGGAGATCCACAAGGATCAAATGGTTGTCAGAACCACCTGGAAACAGTTGGACACAGCAGAATGCAGAAGGCTGACTATACTAAGTGAAGGAATGTGTCTTCCAGAAAAATGTGGTCAGATGTTAACCACTCATGAGAAGCAAAGACGCCTCAGGTCTAGGAACTGGAGAGATAGAGCCCTTGTTAAAGGGATAACTGGCCATTCAGAGGGACAGAGGGATGTGGGGCTGCTAGGTTAAACGACTGGCAGCTTCTGTAGCCCAGATTACTCATGCCATGACACAGCAGGTGCCAGCATGGGCTGAAATGTCTCAGCTTCTCTGACAAATGACTTGGGAATTTCCCAAGAGTCTCTGACATTGATCTTATTTTCACTTTTTTTGTGCTGGGATGGAACTCATGGCTTCAGTGTATAATTAGGCAAACACTCTACCGCTAAGCCACATCCTCAGCCCCTCTGATGCCAATCTTAAAGGCTGCCTCTAAGGCAGCACTAAAGTAAGGGTTCAATGTACCGCACAGACAGGGTAACAGGCACATTCATCGAGCACACTTTTTGGTGCCAGGCAGTGCTAGCCTGCTGCTTATTTGATCACAAAGCCTTGTAAAGTTGATAGTACAGAACGAGTATCCCCTATCCAAAGTGCTTGGGACACGAAGCGTTTCAGGCTTTGGACTTTTCTCATACTTTTGAATATTTGCTAGACTTTACCAGATGACCATCCCTAACCCAAAAGCTAAAACTTTTTAGGCATCATATCAATGCTCAGAAAGTTTCATATTTTGGATTAGGAATGTTCAATCTGTATTACCAAAGTGATACAGTTGGTGCTACAATTTGAATCTTAAGTGTCCCTTCCCAAACGTTCATGTTGGTCCCAGTGTAGTGCTGAGAGTCAATGGAACATTTAAGAGGTGGGGCCTAGTAAGAGGTCTTCTTTTTTGGAGGTACTGGGGTTTGAACTCAGAGCTACCACTTCAACCATGCCTCCAGCCCTTTCTGCTCTGGTTATTTTGGACATAAGGTGTCACTTTTTTGAAGGCCAGCCTGGACCTCAATCCTCATGTTTTACGCTTCTGTCACTGGGATGACAGGAACAAAACACCATGCTCAGCTATTGAATAAGATGGGGTCTCAAGAACTGTCTGTCACTCAGGCTGGCCCAGAACCGTGATCCCCAGATCACAGTCTCCCAAGTAATTAGGATTACAGAAGTGCATCACCAGTTCTTGGCTTGAATGTAATTTTTCCTTTTTTTTGGTGATATTGGGGTTTGAACTCAGGGCCTCAAGCTTGCTAAGCAGGTGCTCTACTACCTGAGTCACACCCCCAGTCCTAAAGGTCTTTAGGTCATTGGGGGCATGCCCTAGAAGGGAACTATGGGATCATGGTCCCTTCCTCTTCTTCATCTTTGGCTCCCAGGCCATGAGGTTTGTGGTTGCCTTCCAACACACACTCCCACCATGATGTGCTGCCTCACCACCCTAAAGCAAAGGGTCATTGATCATGGACCAGAACCTTCAAAACTTTGAGCCAAAATAAACTTTTTCTTTTTATAAGCTGATTATCTCAAATATTTGCCATAGTGACAGAAGGCTGACTCACACAGGTAAGGAAAGCAATGCTAACAACTTTTCTGGATCTAGTGCAAAGTCATACAGGAGTCTTCAGAGCCCCTGGGTCTTTCCGCTATGAACTTTCATTAAACCAGGGTGTGGCCTTGGAAGATGACCATGTCCTACCTCAGCCACAGGCTATGTGCAAGGATGGTCTCAAACATGCAGGTAAAAGTAAGTTAACAGTAAGCTTTGGAATCCCACAGACAAGCCCACTAATTTGCTATGTGTGTTTCATCAGGCAGCTCAACATTATGGAACCTCAATGGATAACTCAAAAGGCTATCAAAAGATTCAAGGTATTGTGGGCAGTGCTTGGCATGGTGCTGGGCACAAAGCACATATTCTCAGACATTATCTGCCTCAATGTCTGAGTCATGTCCTCAGACAGGATGAACGAAGAGGAAGCCATCATGGAAGGGCAGGCTGGGTGCAGGAAGGTGGAGACTGCTGAAGAGTCTTGACACCATGGCTGACCTGTAGCAAAATGGAACAGAGCCTACCTCCTGCAATTCCAAGGGCAATTCCCAGACCAGTGACACTTGGTTACAAGTGCAGCTCCCACCCCAGACCCACCTGGTCAGAAGATGTGACTTAACAGGATCCCCAGGGGATTTGTGAGCACATCCAGGAAACAGTGACCTTGAAGATCACAGTCCATACTGGGATTTCCAGGTCTTTATTACTTAAAGATATGATGGATAACAGAAAAAGGAAAGGAAGTGAAGTAGAACATGAAATGGGTGCTTGTTCACTCCTGCCAATTCTGAGGCAGTTTGGTGCGAGTTCCACTCCTCTGACTGAGGAGGGACTATAATCTCTGTGAAGGGTGAAGGGCAGGACACAGGGAGGAAGCCCTGGAGTCTGGCTGCCAGAACCTACCTTCCTAGACCCACAATGCTGCATGCACAGCAGCCTTGTGAGTATAATAAAGTCACTTGCCTCACAGTGACTGAATCTACCAGGAAAACGCTGTCCTTCATGGGAACTGCAATAACTGTGAGGTGTGCAGCACCCTGAAGTGGGGCCCGCCTCTGGAAAGTCCATCTCACTCACATTCAGTCAGCTCCAGTGTGGTTTGTTTTAAAGCAAACAAGACTCTAGCAGCCCTGGGAAAATAGAGTCAAATTGGGCCTCCCTCCCAGCAGGGAGAGCCTGCTACATCCTGACCTCAGGGGAAAAGACATTTCCACAGTGTGAGGCATCTTTGTAGAGAAGGATGCTGACTCTGTCACCTGCCAAGTGTGTGATTGCTACAGCCCAACCTCCCTCAAGTGAGCCTCAGGTGTCCTGGGACAAAGCTGTTCTGAGGATGCATAGCTCTTATGCATCCAGCTGCCAAGTGGCAGCTGGAGTGGCAGTGGTATGGCATGAGGGAGAGGTCACAGCAGGCCCTCAGCTGAATGGTCTCCTGACTTTCTCCCAAGGTGGCCTGAGTCACTGTAGCAAAAGTGGTGATGCCCAGAGCCCCTACCCCACGAGGGGTAGCTTTAGTGCACTACCCACAAGGAGCATGAGCCTGTCCATCATTGTTTGTACCTGTGACTATCTTGTAGCCCAGCTCTGTGAGGGCCTCAGCCAGAGCCCTGCAGTTGGCCACAACCTGGAGCTGGTAGACTTTGAATTCTGCAGTCATTGCTTGCTTCAGGGCCACAGCAACCCCTGGATAGGGAGGAAACAGGTCAGGAAAACAGGATCGAATTGAAAGACAGATGGGGAACAAAAACAGCCCTTGTTTCCATGGAAACCTCCCTGCTTTACAATGTCACCCAAGGGTCTGTGGCTAAGCACATGCTCTTTACCTCTAAGCTACACCTCAACCCTAGTGTTTTAACCCTACAATTACCTAGATAAACCTGCAGAACATACTAAGAAAGCCCACTTTCTAAGGACTGTTCCTGAGGTAGCCTTTCTCCAGACATGGAAGCTCAGTGTTAATCCAGTCACCACAGGAAAGCCATCTAAGGAAAGATGGATTTTAATTGTTTTTATTTTTGGTGGCACTGAGGAATCAAACGCAGGGCCTCATGTATGCTAGGCAAGTACTCTACCACTTGAGCCATGTCTCCCCAGCCCACAAGATGGATTTTAGTTCTGAGCTACCCAGGTTCAGTGGACACCTGTCATCACTCTTGATGGCTGCTTCACTAAAGAAACAAGAAAAATGGAGGTTCATGCAAAATCCATGCACCTGAGTCCCAGCAAGCAGGGCTGCCTATCTGCTTGGAAACAGTTAGAAAGGCCCAGTGGCTGGGCACCGGTAACCCCAGCATTCCCAGGTGGCAGGTGCTGAGTGTGTAGGCACAGAGGGAGAACTTGAAACCCTCTGGACCCCAACACCTCCCATGCCCTATTCCTGAGACTCTACTATGGGCTGCTTTTTCTGATTTCCATGGAAACACTAGTGCTTCTCCTGACTGAGAAGCCACACCTTATCCTGAGTGCCTCAGCACAAATGAGTGTCACAATCACATGTTGCAAGAGGACAGCAGGACTATTCTGAAGTCATTACAGATGTCCTAAGCCATGTGTCCAAATAGAAGGAATATGTGGGAGAGCTCCTGTGGGGCTATCACAGAGTGGGACCTGGGAGCTACTGCTATGGGCCTAGGGTACGCAAACCCCTCCCTACAAGGCAGGAGAGGCAGCTTGTCCTTCAGAGTTTGGACCCTAATCTTCCTCACCCCTTGCTGTATCTTCTATGTCAGATTTCTCCCCTGTTGCTTCTTAAAGTGGGCCCTGCATCCTTTACAAAACCCAGCCTGACCAACAGTTTTGACTAACGATAGCCATCTGAGTAGAGCAGATGCTTCCCTCCTGTTCCCACCTTGCAGCACTCTCAGCTACGTCCCTTTCCTTCTGTGTAGCATCTCCTACACAGAGGCTGTCCCCTAAGTTTCTTCCCTAGTGTGGAAGACCTGATCATTGCTGCAAAGAGCGGGCAAGATGGGAATTAGGGACACATATGACCTCTGGATGCAAAAGGGCTGTGGGATAGGCTTGGTGACACAATACCAGCAATGGCATGGTTGTGAGGACCACCCTGCAGGCCTGGGAACACAGCAGAGTTAATGAGTGACTCCAGTTCATACAGAATCTCTTTGCCAGTCTTGGGATCCACACTGCGAACACCTGGGGAAAAAAAGCCATCAAAAAGTGACCCTATAGTCTGACCCATTTCCTCCCTCTTTGACCTCACACCTAGACTGGCTATGGGCAATAACACAAGTTTGGCCTCTACTCCTGGTGGCAAGGAGAGCTGGCTTATAATGCCACAGCAGAGGGACTCTTGCTTATTGATGGCAGTATCCTCATTCTTTGGGAATGAAGACATTGTAGATGGATGGCTCTGGCTGGAGTGCTGGTTTCAGCACCTTTGCTGTACCCCTATCCCCTATGATAGCATCTTTCCTTAACAGTATGTGACTATAATATGAGGCCTTAAGTACCTCTGCTGAGACTGTAACAGAACATATTCCTTGGGCATCTTCCTCAAACAAGTGTCTAGAATGATGACTTGCCAGAATGCTCAGATGGCTACTTATGGGAAAGAAGGTTCCTTTGTGAGAAAGTCCTATTTAATGGTAAGCAATAATAACATCCACATAAAGCTTCTTGTGAGCCAAGAACTGTCCTAAGCACTTTACATAAACTCAATGAATCCTTCGAACAACAGTCCAGAGGAACAGGGGCTATCATTCTAGTTCTCACTCTGCAGGTGAGGAAATGAGGCCCGGAGAAGCTGCTCAAGTAGCCTAGAACCACACAGCAAGCAGCAGAGCCATGATGTGTTCTGGCCAGCAAACTCGAGGCAGCCAGCACTGGTTCCAACGAATCCCATCAACACATAACGTGGAGAAAACAAGTGCTCCCTGGCAGGTAGGAATGATTCCCTGACTCAGAAATGTCAACCCAGCTAAAGAAGGTCCTCAGAGGAGCTCAGAGGCTATCACACGGCACTGGGAAGATGAGTGGGGACCTGGTTAGATCTGGCCCTGGCAGGGCAGGACAGGACAAGGAAACTGCACAGGATAAAAGTAACACAATTCTCACAAGCTAAATGATGATCTGACTGCTATATGGCTTCCACAGGTCTGGGAATCTCAAAATAAAGGAAGGGAGGAGACTATAAGGTATTGGAAAGAGAAATTTCTCAATAAAATGATTGAGATTGTACTAAGGCTTACATATCAGTATCTCTCAGTTTGATTACTGTAAGTTCTCTTTGAAACATGCTATTGCACAGCAAGTCCACCAAAGTATGGCTGCACTGTGGCCTCGTGGCTGCCCCGGCACACCTTCCTTCTACTCTAGCACCTGCCTCTGTGGGGAGGATTATTTCAGCAAAAGATCATAACCAGCACCATTCCATTCCACCACACAGCAGTTAACTATCCCCTGTTCTTGTTTTCCTAGCATCTGGATACACAGGATCAAGGCCAGAGATATGGCACAGGGTTTCCTTCTAGCTCCTTTCTGTAAAGCCCATCATCGCTCCTTCCTAAGGAGCTCTATCAGGCCCTAGATCCTGGTATTTTCAAAAGTCCCAGGTCAGAGTACCCCCTGGTTTCCTCAACTGAGCCTGAACCCCTACAGGGGAAACATCAGCCCAGCACTCATCTATCCCATTCCTGGGAGCTCACCTTTCCTGTAGAAGATCATGCCGGCACGGCAGCCTCTCAAGGTCTTGTGTGTTGTGGTGGTCACCACATGGCAGTGTTCAAAAGGCGAGGGCACCACGCCAGCTGCCACCAGCCCACTGATATGTGCCATGTCCGCCATGAGATAGGCCCCGCTCTCATCTGCGATCTTCCGCAGGCGTGCGTAGTCCAGGTTGCGAGAGTAGCAGCTGGTTCCTGAGACAGGAGAGGTGACATGGCAGAGTCAGATGTCCATGGACAGTTGAGTCACCTCAGTGCAGATCTGCAAGCCTGGAGATTTCCCTCAAAAAACATCCCTATGCTTAAGGCAACTGCTTAAGAATCATAGTTATGATGCCCTTTAACTATTATTACCAACCCCATGAGCCAGGAGGGATTAACATTTCTAAGTGTTACTTTGAGAAGAGCCTCAGCTCAGATCTTATTCCTCTGAGCACTACTGGTGGCAAACAGACCCCAGTCCTGAAAGAAAAGAATGTATTTTGACTCAGGTTCAGCTATCCAAGGGAAACCCAGCAGTGAGCTAGGAGGGCAGGGCCATCTTTACATCCTCTGTAGGCATAGGCACTGCCTAGGAACAAGGCTGCCTCCTTCCCTGTGCCTCACCTGCGATGATCAGTTTTGGGTGGAAAAGGCGGGCGTTCTCCTCCAGCTGGTCATAGTTGATGTAGCCAGTGTCTGGGTACACCTGTGGGAGTCAGGGAGACACAGGCTCAGTTGCTTCCTCTGGTGACACCATGCCTCCTGCCCTCCCACTTGAATCTGCTCCCACCTGCTATAAGAACAGGAAGGATGACCCAGACCTGGACCTGAAGGTGAGTCAGGGCACTGGTGTATTCAGCCTGCACAAGGGGTACAGTTTTGCCGAGTCTTACAGGTACAGGACACCCTGAGGGGCCTCGGGAAAGGGTAATCCCTGCCACTGGGCCCTACTCCTTGATAAGGAAGAAAAAGAAACTCATGCAGGATGAAAAAGACACAGGCCTCACAGGAGGCAAAACAGTTACCTGAGGGATGAGACAAAAATGCTCATCCCCCATCATGCTAACACCACTTCTATTCCAAGTTCTATGAGGTAAGTAAAAGAAATAAAATGCATGAGGATTAGAAAGAAAATGAAAAAAACCCCAGACACTACTCAGACAGCGAGACTGTGTACCTAGAAAACCCAGGAAACTCTAGAGGCAGACTAGGAGAGTAAGTGAATTTAGTCAGTTCTCTGAATACAGCATCTAGAACCAAAACTTAGGCTAGGGTTGGAGCTCATGATAGAGTGTGTGCTTACCATGTACAAGGCCTTGGGTTCCATCCCCGCCTTCCTCCACAAAATCAAAAGAAGTCAACTATAAAATTTTAATAATGTGTGTCAAAACCCATAAAATGTCTAATACAAAATGTACAAGACTTCTACACAGACCATTATTGAGAAATTTTGAAATGTTATAGTGATTAGGGCAGTGTATGTTTGTGGAAGAGCAGGTAATCTGATAGAATGGCAAAGAGCCCAGAAACAACCTCATGTGAGGTCAAAGTCAGGGGAGGCAAGACACTGCAGTGCCCTGGGGAGAGGACCAGATCAATTGGGTATCCATGTGGAAAAATGTTACTTAGATAATCCCTTGCCCCAATACAAACCAATTCCAGATCCAGCAATTCCTCCTAAGGGGATAATATAAGTCAGTCTGTCAAAGAGACACCTGCACTGCTATGCTCACTGCAGCACTACTGATGATGGCCCAGACGTGGAAGCAACCCAAATGCCTACCACCAGATGAAGAGACAGAGAAAATGCAGTGTACATTCACAATGGAAGACTATTCCACCTCAAAAAGGGAGATCTGTTATTTGTGACACCATGGATAAATGTGTAGGACATTATGTTATGTAAGATAAGAAAGACAAAAACTCCAAGTTCTCTCATAGGTATGAAATCTAAAACAGCTGAACTCACAGAAGAATATAGAATGGTGGCTTCTAAAGGGTATGGAGAAGGAAGAAGGCAGAGCTACTGGTCAAAGGGTATGTGGTTAAGACAGGAGGAAAAAATGGGCAAATTCTAAAAAAAAAATTTAAAGCCATAATTACCAAAAATATCTGTGGCTGCTCATTTTGTTTTTGTTTTTTTAAAAACTCGTGAGGTTTTAAAGGCTTTTAATTCATTTTTTTAATTTTAAAAATTAGACAAAACAGCTTTTGGAAGCATTCATAGGCATTTCTAATGAACTGCATCAGGCCAGGGCAGTGCAGAGGCTGGCGGGTAGGAAGTGCCCCTTTGTCCCCTAGGACCAGGGAGAAGAAGGGATTCTCCAATCAGATGGATCATGCCAGGCATGGTGGGCTGAAACACAGTAACAGTAGGTCAGTGTTGAAGTCTCTCCATAGAGAAATAAACACCTGGCCCTGCACAGGGCAGCCACCCAGAGCCTGGGGAGAGTAGAAGGGGCAGAGGCAGGTGGTCTAGGGAAGACTGGGCAGGGAAGCAGTCCAGGAATGCCCCTGTAGCCTCGATAGCTACTTGTGGAGGCCAAATAGGCCTATCTCCTCCCTGCCCATCACATATCCTGCAGCAGACAAACTGTACCTCCTGGGCCCAAAACACCCAGTCTCAGACCTGCCTTTCCAGACCATGCAGGAGGTCTGCCATTATGCCAGGAGGGCTGCAGCCTGACTCATGGTGAACATCGGGAATTGGAGCACAGGATGAGGCTTCCTGATATCTGCAATAAATTCTTCAGGACTAAAGAGAAGGCATCACCAAAGGCTCCAGAAACAAGCCAGTAATTACTTTCTGCCACAATTCTTTCAATAGGAAACAGTAGCATTTTAAGTCCAAAGACACAGTATGCTGTTACTATCACATGTTTAAAAACACAGCTTCAAGGCTGGCCTTGGTCAGTGAGAAGATCTGTGATCTGTCACTGAAACACCCAGGCTTTCCACAAAAAACAAATCAAAGTCCCTTGCACAAAAACAAAACCACAGGTAATTACTAGAACTGAGACATGGCTGAGTAAACACAGAAAGGTCAACAGCATGCAGCACAGACCATGAGATAACAACATGGAACACTGGCTCCATTTTCTCAAAAGAAGAAAATCACATTTGACGTTTACTCAAGTGTGAATATCCACTGCCACTTTTTGTCATGGTAGCAAACAGCAAACAACCAGGAATGGTGCGCTAGACAATAAGGAACATGATAAGATGGTTCCTGGACACCAAGAACGCATCGTGCAGAACAATAAAAAATATGCATGTTACTTCTTTTCCATCCATTATCCTTAGTCTTTTTTTTTTTTTTTGTGGTGGTACTGGGGCTTGAACTCAGGGCCTCATGCTTGCTATTCAGGCGCTCTACCACTCGAGCCACTCCACCAGTCCATCCTTCGTTTTTATTATATACAAATCATGATTTCTCATATAAGCCCTCACATTATGTATACATTTTTTTAATTTGTATCACTGGAGTTTGAACTCAAGGCCTTTGCTTGCCAGGTGCTCTACCACTTGAGTCATGTAACCAGCCCTTTTTGCCCTAGGTATTTTTCAAAGTCTTGTATTTATGCCAGAGTGATCCTCCTACTTCTGCTTCCTGTGTAGCTTGGGTGGCAGGCAAGTGCCACAACATCCAGCTTTTATTTGAGAAGGGAGTCTCACTAACTTTCTGTGTAGGCTGGCCTCAAACCAAGATCCCCTACCTCTGCCTCCTGAGTAGCTAGCATTACAGGTGTGAGCTACCACACCTGGTTTATATGCATTTTTTGACTTGATTGCTTATATGGACAGGAGATCCACAAAAAATTGTTTGTCCAGGGCCCAGCATACCCCAGAGGCAGACCTGGGGACTGGCTCTGATAGTCCTAGTTCTATTGCTGGGCTGGACTATAACCATATATAGGCAAGGGCTGGCTTTAAATGGGTTGCGGAGACCTTGATGGTAAACATGCTGGTATTGGTGCTAGAGCCAGGGACACTCCTGAACTTGTTTAGCTGCTGACCCACAGGGGATCCAGGCAGGGACATTACTTGGTGAAGGCAGAGCTGGGCCAGTAGCTATTGCTGGGGGCCCAGCTGTAGTTGATCCGGTTGCAAGGAGCTGTTACTCCAGTTATCGCTGCTCCCATGGTTCTGGGATGGTCACCACCCTGCTGCAGCGTCTGATCCCCTCAGTCACGGCCTCCTTCACCACATTCCTGTAACCTCAACCTACACCTTCACCTTTCTATCCCAGCCATTCGAGGCAGGACCTGAGCCTGAGCTGTGTCCAGGGCAGGGAAGTAAGAAATGGTGCAAGGTGGAGTTGCCTGCAGTGCCACATGAACAAAACTATTTATCCCAAAAAGTGCAGCCAGACACTGGAAGTTTTTCTGATAAAACGAAAGCTCTGGAGAGAGATATACTCTCTTACCTTATAGGGCATAGATTCAAAGAAGATGGATGTAGCAGAGATCTTCTTCTTGTCTGTCATAAACCCATGGGTCAGGTGGCCCCCATCAGGTAAGTCCAGGCCCATGATGCGCCCATGGGGCTCTACCAAGGCAGTGTACACTGCGAAGTTGGCAGGGGAACCTGCAACAGGGAGACCAGAGCCATGATTATTTCTACCCATGAGACACCAAGTAGCATCTAGGAGTGGTGAGAACACCACTCGTGGCCATCACCATGTCTTCCCTGAGTCCCAGAAGATGACCCTACACTAAGTAAAGGGGAAGTCCAATGACAGAGCACTGGAGGAGTACACAGAGCTAGGAGTCCAAGGGCAATGGAGAAGGATGCACACCCCCAGGTGGGCCTGACTTATTTCTCACTTTTATTTAGGACAAGTTTTTCTTAGAACTCCTCTGAGTGAAGTCAGCCCCCGAGCCAGGCATAAGGGGCTGTCCCAGCCTATCTAGATGTGACAATCACCTGAGTAGGGCTGGACATTGACCCCCCAGCACTGAGGGTCCAGGTGATAGGCTTGCAGCGCTCGCTTCTGACACAGTGTCTCCAGCTCATCAATAAACTCAGTCCCACCGTAATACCTACGGAGAGAAGCAGGGTCCCATATTCACTGCAGCCCCCGACCTCTGTGCCTAGCAGAGGCCGAAGCTCAGGGGTGGGCAGAGCATGATGGAGGGAAGTAAGTCTCAGTTCCCCATCTTGCCCTATGGTTGCTATGAGGATCCAAGGACATACTAGCTGTGAAAACACCAGCAACTCCTCCAAGGCACAATGCAAAAGGTGGTTGTTTATTTACAAGAGAAGAAAGACAAGTCCTTCAGCGTGACCCTCAGAGAGCTTCAAGGACATTTCAGGACAGAAAGAACGGCAGCTCATTTTCCAAGGGTAATCCTTCTTTTTCAGTTCTTGTTGGAACACAAATGTACAAATTTTCAAAAGCCATAATCAAATTCTGTATTTTCTTTGCCTGATGATAACTATAAGAAAACAAAAATTACGTCAGGCACAGTGGTACATGACTATAGTCCCAACAATAGGAAGACGGAGGCTGAAGGATCACATAAGCCCAGGAGTTTGAGGTCAGCCTGGGCAACACAGCAAGATCCTATCCAAAAAAGAAAAAAGAGTAAGAATATAAATTGTCATAAACCCATGGGTCAGGTGGCCCCCATCAGGTAGGTCCAGGCCCATGATGCACCCATGGGGCTCTACCAAGGCAATGTACACTGGTTCACATGGTGAAAGAGACCAAAACCCACTGCACTTGCAAACCCAAGTGCAGTGGGTTTATTTATTTGTTATTATTATTTTATAGTCAAAGTGGCAACAGCTCATTTATTTAGCCAAAAATAGGTACTTTCTTGTACAATTTGTAAACCCAGTACTTAAAATGTAGAATCGGTTTCTAGTACAGGTTGAGGATTCCTAATCTGAAAATCTTAAATTCCAAATACTCTAAAGTTTCAAGGGCATCAGGGGCATAGCTCAGTGGTAGAGTGTTTGCCTAGCATGTGCTCAGTGGTAGAGTGTTTACCTAGGTTCAATGCCAGCAAACACTGCAAAAAACAAAAAAAGCCTGGAGCATTTTAGATTTCAGATTTGGAATGCATAACTACTGAGTCTGTACAGATAGACCAAAATCTGAAATCTTTTTTTTTTTAATTTAATTTAATATTTTTTCTTTTACTATTCATATGTGCATACAAGGCTTGGTTCATTTCTCCCCCCTGCCCCCACCCCCTCCCTTACCACCCACTCCGCCCCCTCCCTCTCCCCCCCACCCCCTCAATACCCAGCAGAAACTATGTTGCCCTTATCTCTAATTTTGTTGTAGAGAGAGTATAAGCAATAATAGGAAGGAACAGGGTTTTTGCTGGTTGAGATAAGGATAGCTGTACAGGGAGTTGACTCACATTAATTTCCTGTGCATGTGTGTTACCTTCTAGGTTAATTCTTTTTGATCTCACCTTTTCTCTAGTTTCTGGTCCCCTTTTCCTATTGGCCTCAGTTGCTTTTAAGGTATCTGCTTTAGTTTCTCTGCATTAAGGGCAACAAATGCTAGCTAATTTTTTAGGTGTCTTACCTATCCTCATCCCTTCCTTGTGTGCTCTCGCTTTTATCATGTGCTCATAGTCCAATCCCATTGTTGTGTTTGCCCTTGATCTAATGTCCACATATGAGGGAGAACATACGATTTTTGGTCTTTTGGGCCAGGCTAACCTCACTCAGAATGATGTTCTCCAATTCCATCCATTTACCAGCAAATGATAACATTTCGTTCTTCTTCATGGCTGCATAAAATTCCATTGTGTATAGATACCACATTTTCTTTATCCATTCATCAGTGGTGGGGCATCTTGGCTGTTTCCGTAATTTGGCTATTGTGACTAGTGCCGCATTAAACATGGGTGTGCAGGTGCCTCTGGAGTAACCTGTGTCACAGTCTTTTGGGTATATCCCTAAGAGTGGTATTGCTGGATCAAATGGTAGATCGATGTCTAGCTTTTTAAGTAGCCTCCAAATTTTTTTCCCAGAGTGGTTGTACTAGTTTACATTCCCAGCAACAGTGTAAGAGGGTTCCTTTTTCCCCGCATCCTCGCCAACACCTGTTGTTGGTGGTGGTGTTGATGACAGCTATTCTAACAGGGGTGAGGTGGAATCTTAGTGTGGTTTTAATTTGCATTTCCTTTATTGCTAGAGATGGTGAGCATTTTTTCATGTGTTTTTTGGCCATTTGAATTTCTTCTTTTGAGAAAGTTCTGTTTAGTTCACATGCCCATTTCTTTATTGGTTCATTAGTTTTGGGAGAATTTAGTTTTTTAAGTTCCCTATATATTCTGGTTATCAGTCCTTTGTCTGATGTATAGTTGGCAAATATTTTCTCCCACTCTGTGGGTGTTCTCTTCAGTTTAGAGACCATTTCTTTTGATGAACAGAAGCTTTTTAGCTTTATGAGGTCCCATTTATCTATGCTATCTCTTAGTTGCTGTGCTGCTGGGGTTTCATTGAGAAAGTTCTTACCTATACCTACTAACTCCAGAGTATTTCCTACTCTTTCCTGTATCAACTTTAGAGTTTGGGGTCTAATATTAAAGATCCTTGATCCATTTTGAGTTAATCTTGGTATAGGGTGATATACATGGATCTAGTTTTAGTTTTTTGCAGACTGCTAACCAGTTTTCCCAGCAGTCAAAATCTGAAATCTAAAGCACCTTTGGTCTCAAGCATTTTGGATAAAGGATACTCAACCTCTACAATAGCCCCCCCGCACACACAAACCACACACTTTCTTTTTTTTTTTTTGCCACACTGGGATTTGAACTCAGAGTCCTGCACTTGCAAGATAGGCACTCTATTACTTGAACCACTCTGCCAGTCCTATACATTCCCTTTCACGTCTGGGCCATTTCCCATAGATAACCCTCATTGCAATATTCACCATCAGTGGCATCCCTCAAAGGACACTGACTTATTCTAGACAGATGCTGGATAATAGCCTTTATAGACTGGCCCCCAAAGGGACTGTTAAGTGTGATCCTAAGCACACTCGCTCCAAGAACATCAGTGGCATGATAGGCTGGGAACTAGAAGGTTACATCAGAGAGCAGGAACAGATGAGAGATCCCACAATTGGGAAATCTGGAACTTACATTCTGCTTACATTCCACACTGACTTCGAGGATACTCACTTACCTCTGCCCTGGGTACCCCTCAGAGTATTTGTTATTTAAGCAAGAGCCCAGGGCCTCCAACACTGCTCGGCTGGCAAAATTCTCTGAGGCAATCAGCTCCAATCCAACCCTCTGCCGGTTACTTTCCTTCTTAATGATCTCATAAACCTTTCAAGAAAAAAACAGACACTAGACATTTGGATATTTCGGTTTCACATTTTGCTCTGATCAAAACTATAATCTCCTAAAGAGAAAAGACATGATTACAGATTCATACTGTGCTCTCAAAGCTAACTGTAACCAAATTAAGAATATTAGTATAATGCTTAAGGGACAGAACAAGTCTTCCTCAAAGGCTATAAGCACTTGGGAAAGAATGAAAGAAAATAAACTCAGAAAAACAATATAAGAACAAATTATCTTTAAGGATCCCAATTTTTAATTTTATACCAACCAATTATTATTATTGTTGTTGTTATTGTGGTATTGGGGTTTGAACTCAGGCCTACACCTTGAGCCACTCCATCAGCCCTTTTTTTTTTGTGAAGGGTTTTTTCAAGATAGAGTCTCAGGAACTATTTGCCCAGGTTGGCTTCGAACCTTCTGATCTCTGCCTCCTGAGTAGCTAGGATTACAGATGTGAGCCACCAGTACCCGGCTCAACTTACTATTTTTATCCCTGTACTTCATCAAGTTCCTCCCTCCCTGAACTCACAAGTGCCCCACAATCTAGCACTCATAGTAACTACAAGGCTGTCCAGAAGAAAGGTAATTTAGGATTAGAACTAGAGAGTTAGAGCACCTGCCTAGCATGTGTGAGGCCCTGGGTTCCCTTCCCAGCACTGCAAAAACCCCCACAAATCTCACCTCCGCATCGCTGTCCTTAAGGGGCTGCACCAGCATCTTATCATGGGAGGACCAGAGAATAGCATCCTTGTGGGCCTTGTTGATTGGAGCGGCCATTGCAATGGTTCAAAGTTGCCTAAAATATAGGAAACTTGTGTGTGGCTTCCAACATTACACTCAGGCAAAGCTCACTGGAATCTGTAAGCTCTCCCAAGTTGCTAAAATACTGACGTATTTTTTTAACCTTTCCCTCAAAACGGCCTGGTAAACATAAGCATAACCTATTGCAAAATCACTGTGTGCAACTTAGGGTTCCTTTCTGAACTGTGAACCTGATCCTCCTCTTTCCAACCCTGCCCCCTGCCCATCCCAAAGCCTTCTCCTGCCACCTTTCCAAGTGACCGCCTACAGTGAGCCCAGCATGGCTACCTGGCCACTCAACTTCTAGCACAGCTATCTCCTTCACTAAACCCAAGTCTTTATTCCATTGACAGGGATCTGGCTGGCTCCCATAAAACAGCAAAAATTCTGTATTTACCAACTTTTCAGGACATTTTTCTGAGTAGATACACAAGTTAACAAAGATGAGAATACAGGCAATTGGGATTCTCTTTCCAAGATCCCACCAGCAGTGTTTTATAATTTAAGTAAAACCTAGACATATGTTTCCCAGACCCCAGCAAAGTGTACCTGGGAGTTTTGCTGGAAGAAATGCCTCTAACGAGGCACTGAATACCAGCTGTCTCGCTGTAATCCTGGCAGTAATTAAAAATAATCTGTTCATGTCTCTAGTAATGAAAATGAGGCTCAGAAAAGTAAACTATCTTAGTCCAGGGCTGTGCAGTAAGTTGTTTGTGGAGGTGGAACTCAGAACGGAAGCATGTGCTCTGTGTAGCCTACGGGTTCCTGGGAAGACGTGAATTGAAACATGCCCTCACTCAAATAGAAATCTTCCTATAAGAACTACAGGTCACCAGCCAGGCGTGAAGGCGCTCACTGTAATCTCAGCACTCTGGGATCTCTGTGGTCTGGGGCAAGCCTATTTGTTCTAGGACAATCTGGGCTATATACCAGAACTTAGCGCTGAAAAAAAAAATTACAGGTCACATTTACATGTATATATTTCTTTCTTTTTTTGGAGTATCTTTTCATATATTTAGCTGCATTTCATATTATCTTTTGGGTTGATTTTTTGTTCTTTTATTTTATTCTTTTTACATTTACTTACATGTGCATACATTGTCTGTGCCCCTCCCCCCCTCCTTCCCTCCCCCACAAGTTTATATTTCTATCAGAAAACCACAGCCCATAAAAATACAGCTGACTGGAAAATACATGTGTCTTAAAATGTGCTTCTACAAAGAGCAAGAGTTTCATGACCAGTACTATTTCCCCGGTGTGACATTAAACCCCTCAGGCACCGCCCTCCCTTAAACAGCAGATGCCAGTTTTCCTATCAGTCTGGTTAAGTATCCTTGTAAACTTCATTCATTCATAAGTACTTCCATGGGTGAACAAATCCCACTGGAGTCCTGCCTTTCTGGGCTTCCCTTAGGAAAAGACAGGTGACAAACACAGGCATAAATGCATAAGGACCAAGCAAATAAAGAACTGGGTGCTGGGAGTGAGAGGGCACTGAGGAAGGGGCTCCCTTTGGGTAGCCAGGACAGGAGGCCTCTTTGAGAGGATACCTTGCCTGAAAAGAAGCCAATCAAGAGGAGAGAGTCCACTTTCCAAGAGTACACATGGTAGATATAATTTGCCAGACAAACAAAACCACTGAACAAATAGGCTGTATAAATCCTAGACCACAGCCACCCTCCTCTCTGGCAGGGCTAGTAAAAGGAACTGTCAATCACCTTTAACCAGGAAATTCCTAATTGAGGCTTTCAAAGCGGTCATTATTTTAACTCGAGCCTGTCATCATTAGGTGTAGAGGCGTGCCTGCAAAACCCAAAGCCATGGGAAGGCCCTAAAGCTGCAGTGGCAGCAGCAGCACCTTGTGGAAGCCACCCCAGCAGAGGCGAGAGGAATGTAAGTGCTTTGGGCTTCAGGCCCCACTGCTTCTTCCTGTCAAGCTCAGCACCCAAGCACAGCCAGCTACCCCAGCTCCTCTATGACCAACACACCCTCTGCTAGTGGGAAATCACAAACCAGCACCAGAGCCAAACCAGGCCCTAATTCCAAAAAGGAAAACTTCTCTTAAATATTAACTATAGAAGGTTAAAAAGGACTTGTAGGTGCCCAGCAACACAGAGGGGCTATTTCTTAACCACCAAAGAACTAAAGTCCACCTGGAAACCTCCTCCTCTCCCAAGGGCCAGACCTCCAATCATCTGGCCAAAGGCATTCATATCAAGGGGGAGGTGCCAGCCTCCACCTCCATGCATGGGGGACTTGCTGTTCTGTCCATGCACAAGCTCTTTTCTGACCCAAGACAGTAATTCTGAACCACAGTGACCTCCTAAACCCTGCGTGGGGGCCGTCAGTGCCACCATTTCTCCACTCTTCACTGTAACATTCCTGTTCTCACTACACTCCTGGAGTTTTCTACACAGTTCCTATTGCCACATAGGATCAGTAACACCCCTGCCCCATCCTAGGAGCAATTAACATTTATCACTATTACATAGTAATAGTACATACCCTTATTAAACTCATACTCTCCTGGAGCCCTAAGTAAGCTTTTTTTTTTCTTTCCTGAACTAAAAAAAAAAAAGTTTAAATTATTTATTCAAAGAGTTCAAAAATTTTTTTTTGGCAGTACTGGGATTTGAACTCAGGACCTCATACTTGCTAGGCAGGTGCTCTATCACTTGAGCCATACTGCCAGCCTGAGTTCAAGAATCTTTCATTTCAATCACATCTATTATATCTTGGGGCATTCTTAATTATACCAAGAAAGAGAAAGATCCAGAGACTTTTTAGGATACAGAGAGGAAAATAGTCATTTTTAGCTAACACTACACTTAGGAGACAAATTTAGCATTTTTTCTTAAGGTCTAGAGCCCTGAAAAATATGCCTATTTCTTTTTCACTTTTAAATTGCAATAAAATATGACATAAAATTTACCACTTTAACTTGTTTCCTTCCTTCCTTCCTTCCTTCTCTCCCTCCCTCCCTTTTGGTGGTACTAAGGCTTTGCACATGCTAGGCATGCGCTCTACCACCCAAGCCATGCTCCCAGTCCTACTTTAACCATTTTTAAGCACACAGTTCTATGGCTGGCAGCAAATAGTCACACTGTTGTACAGCAATCACCACCATCCAGAACTGTTTCACCTTTCCAAACTGAAACTCTGCCGTTAAACTTAAACTCCCCATTCTCCCTCCCCACCCCCTGGCAACCCCCATTCTACTTTCTGAGTCTGTGAATCTGACTACCCTAGGTATCTCACAGAAGTAGAATCTATAGCATCTGGCCTTTTGTGCCTAGCTTACTGCGCTCAGGATGTCTTCCAAGATTTAGTCATGTTGTAGCATGTGTCAGAATTCTTCTCTTTTCAAGGCTGAAATAACATTCCACTGTATGTACATGCCACATTTTGTTTATCCATTCATTTGTTAATGGGCCTTTGGGTTGTTTCCCCATCAGCTATTGTAAATGCTGCTGTGAGCATTTGGGTTCAAGCACCTGTTTGAGTCTTTGCTTTTTAATTCTTTGGGATATAAGTCCATAAGTAGAAATGCTGGATTGTGGGTTATTCTATGTTTAGTTCAAAATAAGCTATTTATGGTGTTGGTGGAGTGGCTCAATGTGTAGGCCCCGAGTTCAAGCCCTGGTACCACAAAAAAAAAAAAAAAAAAAAAAAGGAAAGGAGCCAAGCACAGATTTGGGGTAAGAGCAATCCAGGCAGAGCAAATACTGTGATAGGAAGAAGTCTGATTTGCTAAAGGTTCATGTGGCCGAAGCCTGGGGAACACACTAGTGTCATAGGAGATTCGAAAGTCAAAGGTTCTTTATGTAAAAGAGCAAGTGAATATGTCACAAGCTGGACATCTTGGATTCCCCCACTTTCAACAGCAAGGGGCTACACACAAGGGTGGTGATGGCATGCATAGGCTCCCAAATTCTGCTCTGCCACCTCCTAACATGTGACCCCAGTTACCAACATAACACAGGGATAAAAGCATTCTGAAGCTAGCGATGAGAGTTACAAGAGACACAAGGCATAAAACAGAGCACTGAAAGGCACAGAGTAAGTACACAAAAGCACTGGTGATTGTTGTTGTTAAAGAAGAGGGTTCTCCATTGAGCACCCCAGCTCACCATAGCTCATTGCAAGTTCCTTGCCACCAGTGTTGATACTTCTGTAGAGACACTGTCCCTCACGTGTGGCATGATCCTTACAACTCCAGGGAAAGGGAATAAGAGAAGTCACTTGGGGGAGAAATGGCCCAAACTATGTATGCACATATGAATAAAGAAAAAAAATTTAAAAAAAAGAGAGAGAGAAGTCACTTGCACGGCCACCAGCCTCCCCATGTGTCTGAATCTTACTTGGGACTTTGCCACACAAATCCAGCAACTATCTTGTTGAACTCCTTATCTGTCTCACACAGGGATTTTGTGTACTTGTCTCCAAGGTCATATGACAGTAAGAGTCAGCATCTGAACTCTGGTTTACCTTTAGTTCTTCCCAGAACTCTAGGAAACAATCACCCACTCCCTTGCCTGCTCCCTCAAATAGGAAATTTCGAACTGGATTCTGTAGGCACCTAAACTGGTGTTTCCAGTCCAGCAACTTCCCGAGTGCAGGCACGCATCTGTGCTAGCCTCACCTGCAGTGACCAAGGGTCACTTATCTCCCAGACCTCGAAGTACTGGCACTGAGCCAAGAACTCTACAGTGCAACATTTGTCTCCTAGATCCGAGGACTGCAGACAACAGGGTTCTGTGGCAAGAGCAGACACCATGTATGCAGCGGTTTAGGGGAGCGGGCTTTAGCACAGGGCTCCGTTCCGAGCGCTACCATTTCAACCAGCTCCTATGTCAGAGAGGGTGTGTGTAGGGGGGAAGGGGCAGTTGCTAGCACTCCACCTGCAGTTTAGTTGTACGAGGTGAGGGTTTGTCCTCATTTCGAAACTTCATGAGAAAGGCGCTCCGTAGAGAGCGGCTACCTATGCCCACAAGTAAGCCTTCGCATCCGCCCCTAAGTCCACGGGCCACCACCTCCATTACACCGATGTGCCCAGGACCAGGTTGCTGCTGCCGGCCCCTTCGGCCCACGTGCTTATCAACAGCACCCGCGTTATTCTGGCTTCCCAGAGGCGTGAGTGTACCACGGAAATGCATGGGGACCAAAGCGCCCGCGGGCCCGGGATGCCTACTGGCTCGGACCCAAGCCGCCCACCTACCGGAACGTGGCTCCGCACGTGTCTAGCGACGCTTCGGTCCCACGCCGCCGTCGGTCCCACCAGAACCCTACACCCGCTGACCTGTGCCCAGCCACAAGCCTGCCACGTGACCTGCCCCGCCACACAGGAACCCAAACTTGGCGCGCAGCTGCTCGCTGTCCACAGTGCCCTGAGCGCACCGCCCCCGGCCTGGTCCCGCCCCCGCAGGAGCCCAATCAGAGAACGTATCCAGGCAGAGCGTGCCCCCAAACGGCCCGGTACCATAGGCTGTGGCGGGGCTGTGGGCGGGGCTAACTCTTCTTAGAACGGGAGGTCGCCTGTTACATATGCTCACCCGGGCAGGGACGCGTAGGACCTGTGGGCTTTGGAAGCCAGCGGCGGGAGCTGGAGCCGGGTTATTCGGGAAGACAGCTGGGCTGCTTGGGCTACGGGGTTAGGGGTGAATTGCGTTACTTATATTTAACTTTTCCATGGTCGTACTTCCGGTTAGCACGGTGATCAATTATAAATAGGTCAAACGTAGGTTCCAACCGACACACTATAAAGAACGGAATCCTAGATCCGTCACTTGGCTTTTTAATTTCTTTTTTCTTGCAGGACTGTGGGGAGGATTAAAAAACATCTCTAAAACACAGCACATAACAAGGACTCAATAAATACTAGGCTCTTGTTAATAGCTAACGCCTGGCGTGGTGGTGCACAACTGTAATCCCAGCACTCGGGAGGCTGAGACAGCAGGATTTCGAATTTGAGGCCAGCCTGGGCTACATAGAAAGTTGCAGGGCTGCATAGGGAGACCCTGTCTCAAAAAACAATAGTACTAAATTAACTGGTGATGTGGCTCAGTGGTAAAGAGCTTGCCTAGCACATTCAAGGACCTGAGTTCCATCCTCAGCACCTTGAGTACACACAAAAATAAATCAATAAAAATTAAAAACGAGTTGCATAATATAGGGAAAGGAGTCTAGGTTCACTCACCTGCTCTACAAGGAGCGTGGCCTTAGGTAAATCAACTCTGAGTCTTATCTTCTCATCTAGAAGATGGGTTCCCAGTCTTTCAGTCCTCAGCACTTTGTATCCCTGTCGTGATATCCAGAATTTTTTAAAACATGTAAATGTGCCTAGTGTGACAGTTAATACATGGATTTGAAACCAATCCAGAAAAGTCCAGGTAAAGACAGAGTAGGGATCTATAAGTCACAGAGGAAGCACTGTTATTTCCATGAGCCCCACACACTGATGTTCTTACAATCAGAGGAATTAAGCCAGGCATAGTGGTGTGTACAACTGTAATCCCTGAATCTAGAGATTGGGGCAGGAGGATCTTGAGATGGAGGGCAGCCTGAGCTACATAACAAGACCCTGTCTCAAAAAACAAAACAAATCAAAAATAATCAGCGGAATTTTGTTAAACACCCTTTTTGCTTAATACCCCATCCTGATCCTCAGTGCTTTTTTGGAATTTAGAACATCAACTAGCACACAAGAACAAACGAATTAATGATAAAAGGTTTAATTCTCCCACTTAAAAATTATAGATTTCCCTTCCCCCTTTTTCTTTGAGCATTTACTTTGGGGAACTTATCACTGAAAGCACTTCCTGCACTTTTCGAAACGTGTAAATGTATTTATTTTTTTATATTTCATAATTCCAGTTTATTAAGGCTCATTATCATTTAATCAATCCAACTTTTGTTGTCTAATCCTGTAGGTAAGATTTGACAAGTTTTTAATCTTTGTGTTCATAATAGACCTTTAATTATGACTGAAAAGGTAAAATAACACATTCCATAGGAGACTTGTGATTTGGATATATTTTAAGCATTATATCTTGTAGTTCATGGTACTTGCAGTGAAAATTTTTATGCCTTGTTAACTATATGGACATTCAGCAAATACTCAGATGTGGTATTTATATTGTATTGGCATCAATCGATTTTAGTAAACTTTAGATCAGCTAAAATCATGCAAATATTATTAAACTTTTAAAAAATGAAATTTAGAAAATAAAGTGAAGTTTCTTGGTGCTTTCTACTTTAATATGAGCACAAAGATTCAATTTACATTAAAAAAAATGTGGTTGCCTTACAAGTCATACCGATATTTGAAAAAGTCAAAGCCTATGGAGCAAACTTTCAGAATTGGAGGTGTTCCAAGCTTGGAAAAAACGTAAACATCATCCTTGTTAATGCATCTGTATAAATCCCATGTGGTTAAAATTTGAGAAACTATTAACAAATCTCATTAAGGAAAGTGTTACATTGCTTTCAGTGTTTGCCACAGTATCTTCCTTGGCACTTCAGAGTTGTTTTTTGATTGCTTCCTTTCTTGTCTACTCCTCACTACTCTGTCAGGTAGGGCTTCCCTGTAATCTCAGCACTTGGGAGGTGAAGGCAGGAGGACTGCAATTCCAGGCCAGCCTGGGCTGCAAGGCAAAGGGCCTGAAATGTAAACATTTTTTTGGTGGTACAGGAGTTTGAACTCAGGACCTCACACTTGCTGGACAGGTGCTTTACCACTTGAGCCACACCACTGACCCTTTTTGCATTCATTATTTTCGAGATAGAGTCTCACTTTATCCACAGGCCATCCTGGACTGCTATCCTCCTATTTGTGCTTCCCCACAAAACTGGGATGGCAGGTGCATGCCACCATACCCAGCTATTGGTCGCCATTGGTTGAGATGGGGTCTCAGGAACCTTTTGCTGAGGCTGGCCTCCAACAACCTCCCATCTCTTCTCAAGAAGCTACAATTACAAACTGGAGCCACAAAGCCTGTACTCCCAGTTTTTTCCATGGGCACCTTGTTTTCAGCAACAAAACTGTCTCCTGTGGTGGGGGTGTAGGCTTTCCTAGTCTTTTTGAGAGCTGGGTTTGCTCCCCTGCATTAAAAAAAACAAAAACAAAAACAAAAACAAATCTCAAAAAGTCTACCTCCTTGGTTAAAAGATAAGCTGTTTTTCTTCTGGATAAAGGCAAATAGCTAATACAGATGGTCACCCCAATTACCAGGGGTAAAGTTAGGATGGATTATGTGTGACAAATAATTCAGTTGAGGCCTCTTACTTGAGTACTAATTATTCTCTATCTTGGACAATATGTATTGGGTGGTAACTGTTTAATTATGTAAGGAGATAAGATTTCTTCCTGTCTCTCTCTCTTTTTTTTTTTTGGAGTATTAGAGCTAGAACAGCGTCTACACCTTGAGCCACTCTACCAGTCCTTATATGTGATGGGTTTTTTCAAGATAGGGTCCCATGAACTATTTTCCCTGGCTGGCTTCAAACCACAATCCTCCTGATCTTTGCCTCCTGAGTAGCTAGGATTACAGGTGTGAACCACCACTGCCTGCTTCTTTCCTTCTTTCTCTCTCCTTCCTTCCTTCCTTCTTCCTCTTCCTCCTCTTTCTCCTCTCCCCCCCCACTCTTTCCTTCCCTCTCTTCCCCTCCCTCTTTCTTTTTGGTGGGAGTTGAGCTTGCCTGACAGGCACTCTGACACTTGAATCACACCTCTAGCCCATTTTGCTTTAGTTATGTTTTTTGAATAGGGTCTCATGTTTTTTTGCCTAGGCCAGTCTAGACCTTAATCTTCCTATTTATGCCTACTTTTAGTTGGAGTGATAGGCATGTACCACTATGCTCAGCTATTGGTTGAGATGGGTCTTGTGGATGTTTGCTTAGGCTGGCCTTAAACTTCACTCTTCCCCATCTCTACCTCCTGAGTAGCTGGGATTACAGAGGAGAGATACTGCACCTGACTTTTAATTTTTTATTTTGGTGATACTTGGATTTGAACTCAGGGCTTCAAGATTTCTAGGCAGGCACTCTACCACTTGAGCCATGCCTCCAGCTCTTGTCTTTTCAATGTTTTAGGAAATTGCCTGCAAAGTGCACCACTTTCTCCCCCTCCCCCCTCAGTCCCCTGGTGCATCACTTTGTAGCTTAAGTCTTATTCAATAATGGAGAGGACTTCTAGATTTTGTTTTTGATTATATTTTCCAGAGAAGATGTGTCATTATGTTTATTTACAGATGAAGAACTTGAGACTCAGACAAGTCACAGTCACGTAGTAGTGTGATGGAGTCCAGATTCAAATTCAAGTTTCTCAGTTTCTGCAGCTACATGATATCCACAATGCTAGATGACAAATGGAGCTTGGCGTGACACGTAGGAGATACAGAAGAAAGATGGTCTACATGTTTGAGATGGGCATATATGTATATTGGGTGTGAATCTCAAAAATCAAACTCAGGTGTACAAGAAATGTAGCTTCATCATTCTCCTGTACTCCATCTTTATGTTAAGCCCTCATTTTGCCAGACATCTTGAACTTGCTCTCAGTCTAGTCATGGTCTTCTCCCATTATTCTTGGTGTTTCATCTAAGTTCTAAGGGCCAAGAGGCACAAAAACACAAACTGGTGATGTGGATACACATTAGCGCCCATGGTGTACACTTGCCCATGATCCTTGCAATTGTCACTCACCTGTCCACTCCTGTTTGCCACCACCCACCTTCTTCTCCTTTGTGACATTCCCTCTCTTCCTTGCATTCTGCCTGGATGTTGGGGATTCTTCTGTGCCTACCCACTCAGTGCCAGGGTAGTGATTCAGAAGATTTCTACTGTGCTATGTCAGACCACAGGACAGCTTCTACACCACAGGCTGGACACAGAGAACCCTGGATCTGCCCTTTCCCCAAACCCAAGTCCTCTCCACTCCCAGATTGTCCAAACCCACTTGGGGTTTCTATGCACCTGTCAGCCACTGAGAACAGCAGGCAGCAGACCCCTCCTCAGAAGTGCAAACCTGCCTCTCTGATTGCTGTAATTTGGATGTTGCATGGTCCTCAAAACTGTTATATTAAAGGCTTGGCCCACAGGGTGGCACTATTGAGAGATGGGGAATCTTTGAGAGATGAGGCTGAGTGGGAGGTCTTTGGGTCATGGGATATGTCCTCAAGTGGGAGTGTGGGACCCAGCCTTTTTCTCTTCCTCTCTTTTGTATCCCAGTCATGAGGTGGGCAGCTTTGCTCTCCCATGCGCTCCCACCATGATGTGCTGCCTCACCACAGGCCCATAACAACAGGGCCAATTGATCAAG